TCAGCTCCTGTTTTATCTTGCCTGCTGTGGATTTGCTCCTCTCGGCAGCCAGGAGCATAGCGTAGACATAAGGAATGGCAGTTATTCCAGGTGCAGAATTCCTCAATCTCCCCCAGATTCCTTAACTCTCCTTCTGATGAAAGGCAATGAGCTTCAGCCTCATTGCAGCTCAGTTACCTTCCAGACCCATCAGCCTATGGATTTGAGCACCCTGAACTCCTTTCCTACACTACGCCTCACAGCTATTTACTCTTGTAACTGTAATACAAAGTAAAGGATTTGGCAGCAACAATTGGGGTCAGTTCACCTTCAGCTCACCAAATTAAAGTAGCAGACAAAGTCAAGATGTGGCCTTCGTTTCATATTTGCCTGAAGCATTGAAAAACAAGGCTTCTGGCCAGTGACAGTGCTTTGGAAAGCAGGACTAGCTGTGAAAATCTGGAAGTGAATGAGAAACTCTTTATGCTCCATTAAGTGTCCACTATCTGCATTTAATGGCCAGTTCACAGGTGGATATAAAGACTGGAAAAAAACAAAGAAATTAAGGAAAAATGTTCCAAAAAAAATAACTGTGCCACTGTGCCGACTACAGTAAACAAGGTTGGAAAATGAAAATTCTCAATACTAGTGCTAAGATGACACATGAGTTTCTTTGTGATATGTTACTTTGAGAAATATGAACATGTTTTTATATTAAGCCATTTAAGCCCAGTAAACAAAAAACCTTAAATTTTTGACAAAATTGTGATTAAAATTAGGAACTTTCTAATAAAATTAAGAAAATATGAATTTAACAGATCATTCAATGCCAGTTTTCAGTATCTGATAGTTTCCAGTACCTGCTTGGTGGACACATTTTAGCGTGTACTAGGAAAGTGTTTACAGTCTGTACCCACCCTTACAATATGTATAAAAGACATAAACATAATGAAAGCAAACACAAAACAGATTTGTCATAAGGAGAAGTGGCTGAGTAAAAGAATCTCTGGAGACGAGGTAAGGTGGCAGTGAGCAGCTGTATGCCGCTGAGGCTCATAGATACAGTACAGCATGGTAGTGCCATGACTGATGTCTGTGGTCTCTGCACCACTTGACACCAGATTATTGCTCTGTGGTTTAATACAGCCACGTGCCATAAAGCAGAAGTCACACTGCATGCAGGGATGAAACAAGAGGACAGCTCAGTGCAGGGTCTCCTCTATTCTGCCGTCTCGTCTTTCTTCCCCTCCCAGGCTCTCCGGAGTGCGTGTGCTGCTGAGCAGGCACAGGAGGCCTGCAACACGCATCCACACATCACAGGGAGCCTCGGGGGCTCAGGTGCTTAGAGGTGAATAGAATAATATGGTCACGCTCTGTTTTAACTCTACGTTAGCTCAGGTTTCACAACCAGAGGGGTTTTTCACACAGACTTTTTTTTTTCCTCATTCTTCATTCCATCGGTCTGCCAGCCACTCTGTCCTCTCATCTACCCTCCTGAATATGAGTCTGGCAGTGTACATCTGTTTCTGCCCAGGTCTGTTCCCTGAAAGAGGGCAGAAATCTTAGAGGTCAGTCAACAAAGGAGAGGTGCTACACTCCCTGACTTGCCGAAGAAACAGATAGATCTGCAGTCATTCACCTTTCCTGCCTTCCCTGAACCATTTCTCTTACACTGACATGTAAGCACACTCATCTATGCACAGTACTTCTATCTACAAAGCAACGTTCCTGCTGGCCCCTTGGCCTTGGGAACTAAACACAGTTCTTCTTTGACCATAAGTAGGCAAGGACACAATTAGCATACAGTTAATACAAGAGATTCATGCAGAAACAAAGAAGTAGCTGTGTAGAAATTGTGCTTATTCCACACAAAGCAAAGTCATACAAACATAGAATCATACAATGTCACTGACTTTTCGGCCTGTAAACATTAGTTGAGTGACATGGGGTTGATTAATTTCCTTTCCCCAGCACTTCAGGAAACAAAACCTGTTTTGAAACACTTACATGCATTCACTAACAACTCTGCACTTTGAGGGTCAAATGAGAAACAAAAGCAGAAACAAATCAAACATGAATCCAAATGAATCTTTTGTGTGAATTATTGTTCCCATAATTTATGAATTCAACCTGTAAAAACTGGCATAAATCCTCTTGGTACAAATTAATTCCTGCAGCCACATTCACAGTCACACTCGCGCACACCATCCATTACAGACTTGGACACCTTGTGCATAAATCAGCAGCACACAGTATTTGTGATTAGCTAGTAGTTTGCTCACTTTCTAGTCAAGAAAGCCAGTAAGCTTATTGCCAAAAACAGTTTTGTACACTCCCAACTTGTTCTTCAGGGTTCTTTAAACGTACCCTTCCTTGCTTATTTCATCAATGTATTCCAGTCTTTTTGACTCCTGTTCTCCCTGACTGTCAACTCTCTCATGGTTCAGTAAGCACAATTAGGGTTAGCTTAAAAAAAAAACAGATATCAGGTGACAGGGCTTCTGTAACTAGGGGGCTTGAGCTACTCCAGCCTGGCCACAGATAAAGAATTGTAACTCCCGGCTACTGGACCTACACAAACAAAATCACCTAATGTCACTGAAAGTCTTTTAACTTTTTCATGAGATGGCCGATGGCACAGACACACAAAAACCCTTCACTCTGATTTCATCTCATCAGTTCACACATGACTAAAATATTAAGTACGCCTGTAGACTGACAAAAAAAGAGTGAGAGTTAACATTTCTGAGCTGCATCACCCTAATGACAGAGCCTCTGACTACAGTAAGGAGCTACCTGGTTACTTTGAAGCTGAGATTTAAACGATTGTCTTTCTTTATAGCAACCCTCACCTAGCCGCTGTGTCCAGCCACAGTAAGCACACTCTACAGTGACTCAGTCCAGACTGGCTGCTACTCACTAGTGAAGTCATTCTTTGCTGTGGGTTTTAATTATGCAAATTAAGTAGGTGAATTCCCTTGATTAGATCAAGTCTGGAGGTTGTCTTTGCTGGTTCAGACTGTACTTTTAGCAAAGGACATTTTCCCAGGGTGTTTTAAATCATCTGCTGCCTGAATAACATAAAACCTAAGGATGTTAGCTCAAGGACATAATTTCAGTTAAGTTAATTAGAGGTTAAGCTCTTTAACAGAATGTCATAAAATATTTATAATTAGAAAATCACTGTAAATTATATGTCTAAAGAGCAATATACAATAGTAGTTTTATATGCAGTTTAAATGCTTTATAAAGTTGCCAAAGTGACCCAGTGCTTTCTGTGCAAAAATTTCATTGCATTGCTATGATTCTGCATTTACACCACTTGACTCCGTACCACAGTGTGGAGGGAAAAGGCCTTTATTTCCCTGCATTTCTTGTGGGACATTCTATAAGCAGGTTCCTTTTAACCCAAACAGGAAAACACAAAAGCTGTCTGCATGGCCTCAGTGTGTGTGAACAGTGAACTTTCCCTCTAGTACCCTGTATGAAAGCACATTCACTCTACCCTAACACTCTTCCTTGAATTTTTATCTACTCTCCACTACTACTACTACATTCTAACAATAAGTCCACAGGCCGGCTGAGGGGGGAGAGGGATGTCTGCGGGCGGAGCCGGCTTCCTCTTCACAAAAAATGCAAAGGCGGGTGGATGGGGAGGGAGGGGATGTGTGACCGCCGGTAAACACACTCTGCTTTTTTCCCATGACAACCACAGAAGCAACACTAGCCAGAACCTAGCAGGTACTGTAGAGTGATAAGCAGGCCACCTGAGTCATCTGTTGACCTTATTCCCCCCATGGAGGAAGCAATTTGGAAGCAATCATCCATAACTGCATTCATCCTGTGATGCCCAACAGGTGAGCAGCTCAAACTCACAAAGACAATGGGTTTATTATACGTCACCTGGAGATACCATGCCATAACCTTGGTACAATAAAAGCACCCTGCCTTCACTGTTTGTCACCCTGGAATGAAGGGCCAATTTAGCCATCAACAAGTGCACATTAAGGGGGAAAAGGGGGGCAGCCCCTCTTTTTCTACAACACAGAGCACCTGGTGATAGCCGTAAAGTACTGCTGGAGGGTCCCACGCTAAGAACGGGAGGTTAGTTCAAATGGCAGCTATGGATAAGCTTAACGTGTTTATGGTGTGGATTCACCTGATACATGAACATAGAACTGATATCCTCAGAACAAATGTTAGACCACACATAGGCTACAGATGTCTCAAACTGAGAACACAGGTGCTTCAGAAATGCCCCCTTGTCCCCTGTATACCTGTTCCCATTTGAACATCAGGTGCTGTGGGATTTGGGGTGAACCTTAAAGAGCTGTAATCCAATCTGACTTTGAGACTCTCTCGCTAAAATGGGACGACAAAGGGGAACCGACCGGAGGGCAAACCCAGCCCACCACAACAACAGCAGTCTAGGGGCCTATATTTAACAGTGTTGGGAATAGTGGGAGCAGCCATACAGGAACACTTTCAATGCACAGCAAAGGTCGACTGGGACTTAACTTCCTCAGCGTGATCAGCTCGTTCATTTCGAACCCCTCAACCCCCCCACACCCAACAGCAAAATAAAGAGATAAGCATTGTTTAGCCAAACAATGGGCTACTTTCAAAGCCTTAAAAGCTCTCGTTTTCACATGCAAGGCCAGCATTTGAAGTCAAGTATAGCCAATAAACAACTTTACACTTTACAAGCTGATGGTGGGAGCCTTCATGAAAGAATTAGAAACTATCAAGTGGATCTAAAGTCATTGTCTATAGAAATCAGCAGGTGCAGGTGGGCAAGACACAATAGACACAAGCAGATCTACAGAACAGTTACAGTAGCCCAGACAGAGGCTGCAGCCAAAGCTGACTCCAGAGCTGTTTTACTCTGTACTTACAATATACAGTGACTGACTTGCTCACTCAGACCTTTTCTAATTTAATTTGACTATTTCTAAGAGCAAATATCTCAAATATTTCAAACTTTAGACGAAACTTTTCATTTAAAAACTTATTTCACCAACCTTTAATGAATTTTTGTCAGCCAGGGCTAGCGCCTGCTTCTTCAGCTCTGCCACTTTCTTCTGACATTGCTGGCAAAAGCCTCCTTTCTCCTCCGACTCGGAGATGGAAACCGACCCGGCGCCCTCAGGAGCAGGCCGGCTGCTGCACCGCGCGTCCTCCGCAGAGTGAAGTCTTTTCCTGGGGGCTACCGGAGACTCTGCACTCGGACATCCCTCCACCTTGAGGATAAGGAAGAGGTTTCATTAACTTATTGTTTGCTATAAAAACAGCAGGACAGACTTCAAGCGCATACAAGTGTCAGGGATCAACTGTTTGTTTGTGCCTTAACCTGTTTGAATACAGAGCACCTGTCCTAGTGCGCATCAGAGACGCAACTTGTGCGACTATTTACGTTACGTGAGACCATACAATCGCCACTATTAGAAGCAAAAACACCTTTTCACACTTAGCTATGTGCACTGAGACACTTACAGTGAACATGCGGTTGCCGGAGTCCCTGCCATCAGGAGCTGAACTAACCCAAAATGAGCTCATTCTCCCCTAGATCAAGACTACACCAGGAGAACGTCTTCGTGAAACGCCGAACTTAAAGGTTATGCCGCTGAAAAGTGCCATAGGCAGGACTGAAGACCTGACTGAAGGTTGCCGGTTATCTGCCAGGTTGTACTGGGTAAGGTCGCTGCTGCTCATCCAAGGCAACTGGTGTGTGTCCCACAAGTTTACAACAAGCGGAGGAGTTAGGTGCAGGAGGCGGTATTACTCCTGAAGTGGGAGGGCTGAAGAAAACTTTCCTGCACAGGGGTGTGGGGGGGTCTACATGAAGGTCTATAGGTTTTATTATGCCACGGATCTGTGGTTTTAGAAGTAAACGGTGATACAGGCCAGTAGTCTACTCATTTACACCCATAAAAACCCTCCCACAGAGACTATTTTCTCTTAAGTTGGCTACCTGTGAAAATCACCGTGTCCCCACTGAGAGAAGTGTAATAATGCTCCAGTCTATCAAATGGGAATATTCTACATGGTTGTGCATCATTTTATGCACTTTTTTTTTGTAACCTGTAACTGCTTTCAGGGCACATCAGAAACTGTCGCCTCTCAGGCGCTAGACTCTTCCTGCGCGCGCGTGTGTGCGTGTGTGTGTATGGTTAGTGTTACTCTGGCGCCATCCTCTGGCGCAAATTCGGAGCAGCATCTCTCAGATAGGAAGGGTGGGAGTACTGGGGAGAAAAATTTCTTTGGAAAACTGAATATTTCATGCGGGTAATGTAAACGACACGAGCTTCTGTCCTCGCCATCTGAAACTGCTCTCCTCGTATGTGCCTTCACACGCCCTAGCTGGACGTGCAGTCTTTTGTCCCCTGGCTCTACAACTAGTTGCAAATTAAACACGGTTTGCCACCATAACTTGGAATATACGATCAAATGTCGGGGTTTTATGGTTGTTTAATGCTGTTTTCATGCTGGGCTGCAACATATTTGAATTAACAGAAGGAATCTCTCAAACCAATGGTTCGAGAGCAACAATTTAAGAGAAAAAGTTTAGATACTTTTATTTACTGCAAAATGTTGTATAAGCGTTAAATATGACAAACTAATGAGTGAAACCCAACGAGGAAGTTTTAGATCAAAAGAAGAGGCTGAGGATGCTGCATAGTGTTGTTCAAGGTCCTGAATCCCGGACAGGAGTCGTCAAACGTGCAGCATTTGTATCAGTTGTCTCGTCTTTTTCCCCCACAGGAGATCATTAACAAGTTTTTTTCCCCAGTCATCCTTTCTGCATATGCTTACCTTTGTTTTTCTCTTCAGCAGGTGACTCGTAAATCCAAATATGATGTCGGAGTCAACGAAGATTGTCCCCAGGTCTATGACGCTAGGGTTGGGCTTCCCAGCTCCGGGAGATCCCGATGAGTTTGATAAAGCCATGTGGGCTGCAAGTGTAGCCTAGAAACTATTCCACTCCTCGGGAAACCTATTAGAGCTGTGTATCCATCTAATTCATATCTCTCATACCCTCCAAAAAGATCCACGAGGTTTAATCCGGACATCCAGTGACTCACGGTGAGCGCTCGCACGTGTGCGTAAAATAACCCCCTAGATTTCCAATAGTCCTACAAGACAAGACAGCAATACAATCCATCCGGCATGCAAAAGGTTTCCATCCAGTGCAATACTTTTTCACTGGATGGAGCCTATCCAGAGGCACGTCATGCCTGATCTCTGAGCGCTGCTGCAGGTCTGAGAGCGACGGAGCACCTTGTGCATCTGGTGCTCCTCTGTTCAACAGCATCTCTCTCTCTCTCTCTCTCTCGCTCTCTCTCTCTCTCTCACTCACTCACTCACTCAACCCCCTTGCTAGGCAGTGATTACCTGGTCTCCTACCGATTTGCTGTTGCATTGTTGTCAGACCTCAGATGTAAAAATGTACAACACAGTGACAAGCCTGGTGAAAACAAATTCGCTGTAATATTCCTATTGCATTCATGTAGTGACCTACAGTGTACCTGTGCACCCAGCAATGACCTCATCACAGTTTACTGTATGGTATTGTTTTCTCCTATATGCATGAAGTGTTTGATATGGTGCTGCTGTAAAATCCTATCACTTTTAGCATATTTTGCATAAGGGAGTATCAACTGTGGGACACTTATTTACTTTCCTTAAGATGACTAAGTTCATCTCCAGGGATATGCTTTTTCAAAATAATTAAAAGTGATTAGATTTTGGTTGAGTTAGCATATAATAAAATACTTTATTACAGTCTGTATCAAAATCCAATAAATGAAAATATACTTTGAAATAATCAGACACTGAATAAAATGAGTGTGACCTCGAAGCTACCTGATAATTAAAGATGTTTGTAGTGCTGCTAAATAATGCAACCACTGCCTAAAATTCAGTAAAATCTCATGATTGCAAATCAATATTCAGTGAATATATATTTCCAACAGGCTGAGGCCATAAATTGAATGGCTGAGGCTAGTATAGTTGCGTGTGGTTCAGGGGAGCCATTAGATCGATGTCATTTGGCTGACTGAGCAGTACTAAAGCAAAATGTGAGCACTTCATATATGGTTTAGTGGCAAAACTCAATCAAAAGCAGAATCCACATAGCACTTTGTCAGCTCAGCTTCAATTTATGATTTTGGAGCAGTTTCTACTGCAGCTGAATAGCAGAGGGATAGACTGTGGTGATGATGTCATCCACAGACTGTGAACAGTGGGACAGTGTGACAGCACCCGTTGTGATTTTTACTGAGAATTGGGCATGTTTGCTAATTCTCTGTTGGAAACCATATTCAAATAAGTCTAACAAAAACAGTGTAAATTAGCCTCCATTTCAGTGTTTTCTGATTAAAGGGATATTCCTGTAACTTACTATTGCACTCAAGTTGGAGGACCTTAAGAAAAGGTCCAAATCTAAAGAGAAACTGGGATGTTTTGACTTATAGTCCCCGTAGGTCAAGCCACAAAACACTGGATGCTACATTTCCCATAATGTAACATCAGAGCTTCCCTGCAGATATAGAATCTTTAGGGTTATTTTACCTATATGAGGCTGCCTTTAAAGGCACAGAAACATTATACAACCCTTTTCACAGGCTGACTACTTATGACTGCAAGCTGATCTTCATGTGTAAAATCGGCGGAGTATAAACAGCTACGGGGAAATTATAGCCTATGTAAGGCTGAGTTTCCCTTTAACTCTATGAAATGTCCTGCTTTAGTCCACTAGTTTAGTCCAGATGGCTGTCATAAAACTTTTATTTGAACTTTAATAGGACCGAGTGTAATATAACGGATGGTGTTTCTCTACTTTGAAGGCGCAGCTCGACAGAAAGAAAAGTTTGGTAGCCCTCCCGGGCAGGTTTGTGTTTTTCAGCAGGTTAGTGATGATGAAAATCACGATTTATACAGTCACACGACAGTGTTTTGGCAGCCGAGCAGAGGGGGGTAAACAATAAATATTCTAGGATTAATACAATACTTTTAATCCCACAAACAGCTCGCAAACCACGCAACTCATCAGACGCGCACGGTTTTTGTGATAGGGTGCATAATTACAGTCCGTAGTAAAGGTGATTTACCACGTCCATCATCCAGCTCTTCCCCACTGCGGATCTCTGGGTTGCTCCTTCCCTGGCCGCTGATGAAATTCCGAGAACGGGATCCCCTGGGACCGCATGTGCTGCTACATCTGCTGCCCTTGCGCACGTACAGGGAAATCGCTCTGGGCATCTCATTAATGCCTCTCCTATGTCTTAGCCGCTGCCCGTGAGACCTCTGCAGCTTCTCCCGTTGCACAGGCAGGGTTTGTGAGAAACGTTTAGTAAATATTGACAGTTCTTGGCGCATGGAGGAGATGAAAGGGGAAAGGGAGAATGGGGCCTGTCTGGAGAGGGGGTTACAGTCGTTGCATGGCTTTCATGAATGATTGATGCAATCTAAAGTAGCCTATTCCTTGGGAAAATCTTGTGTGTGTGTGTGTCAAACTGTGTGTCGCGTTTCCCATTAAACCAGCCTTGACAATAAAGGATGTGAATATAAACCTGTGTATTAATATAATTAAGGCATTCACATTAGACCTGATTTGAACTAACAAGTGGTTTAACCAATGTGATATCTGGACAGCGACTCACCATCCACCATCCCACAAAGATTCAACAGAGACAAATAATTCTTTATTGACTTGTTTTAATCAGTACCTCTGAATAGTAGCAACAGTAAAGCGGTGGAAAAACGACGACTGTTACCGCAGCAGCAGAGCTATTAAACATTTGTATGTGTGCCAGCAGAATGAAATTACTGAAGCCTGGTGATTTTTACAGCCCCCCACAGCTCGGCTACTGACTGCAATTGTCATTGTAACACAAGGGGGCACAATGAGAGAAGACAGAGAGAGGCAGCACGGAAGCAGGAATCAGAAGGGAATCACACAGTTGTTCCAAACCCATTAAAGGTCGATCCTTATGCGATGCTTGTCCTTTTAGTGATCCGTTCAAAGGCAGAGTTTTCAAAAGCTGGCAGCATTTGTCTGACTGGTCAAGTGGTCCTAAACATTTCACAATTTTGTCAAAGAACTGTTGAACTGTTAAGAACCACTTAATCAGCGAGACTAGGCACTTCTTCTAGGCAAAGTCCGTCCTTTAAACTGTTGATTCCACTAGTGGATGAAAAACAGTGACTAGAATTAGCTTCTGAGATTATCAAAGGCACAAGTAGAGGAATCGCTCCAACAGATTTCAGACTCTACTTGCTGCAGAATAAATCCACAAAACGAGCAGAGGCTTCAGTCATAATGACAGGCTGTGTGTCCGAGTGCTTACCTGGAGAAGACAACTTCTTCCCTTTCGCCGGTGTTTTCTTTGGTGCCATCCCTGCCCAGAATGAGAGACTGCAGAGCTGCGCTCTTTATATAGCGTTCTGGGGTTAGGTTCATACAAGCCTCTCATTCAGGTAGGAATGAGGCCCATGCTGGTCCAACCGGACGAGCGGGGTTCCACCAGGAGCAAGGAGCACAAAGGGACAGCCGCCCTCAAGACCGAGGTAGCAAATACCAGCCACTGCAAGGCGGAGAAGTCACATGGACACAAAGAATTTGGTTTTGTCTTCCAGGTTTGACTGATTTCTGGCTAAATGATCTCAGTCAAGCAACATGAGCATATACAGGGGTGCTACTGCTAAACAAGTCTGGGTTTCATATAGTATTTCTCCTAAAGGCCTATTGTAGTCACAGCCACAGAGGAACTCCATACTAACTGAAATAATCAACATTTGGGTTGATGTGCTCCAATTCATACAGAAAACAGTGTCAAATTGGAAACTGGTCAGGAATCTTTAAATATGAACTGTTTAGATGCTAGGTTCAGGCTTTGGTGCAGCAGGAACAATCACAGGAGACTGTGCTTTAAAATAAGAGATTTATTTTTTGCTTTTTCCACACACACACACACACCCTTATTTGTTTTTGAATACAACATTGCCCCAATATCAGCACCAGAAACAGGATTGTTTTCAAGTACTTAATACGTATTTCCACTTTAAAGTCACAGTTTATCACAGAAGACCCCCTAACAGATGATAACAATAAAGTGTGAAACATTTTAACCAGGATTGGTGTCAAAATCTAATAATATAAAGGAAGGAAGAACAGCAACATTTAACACAACAAAGAAAAGAAAAATAAGTTTGTGATCACAAACACGCAACAATACAAAACATAGAAAATGGCGGTTTTAAGTCTATCTGGTTCACACAACAGTCTGAATGTCCTTTTCTATTTCAAAGTGAGAGATATGTGACTCTTCCAGCCTGATGATCAGGACAAGAAACAGGCCTGATGGGTCTGAAAAGGAACCACAGGTTTTTGCAATACCTGTTTCAACAGAGGGAAATCTCTACTACAGAGGCAGAAGTATAGTTTTCACCAAAGCGGTCGTGCTACAAGTTGGGTAACTTGTCATCAGCTCACATGATGCTTTGCAGCATCCCATTATAAAAATAAAAAACAAATCTCTTACTGCACCCTGTGCATCTAAATAGCATGCTTTTATTGCTATAGGAAAAGAAAACATTACTTTATAAAGTAATGTTATAGTCCTTTAACTCTTTTGGTATTAAAAATATATATATATAACCATTATCTTTCACTGTCTGTGCAGTAAGGGGAGGTTGCAGCACTGTCCGTGTTAAAACAGCTTAAGTGTAGTTCACCCTTAACTCCCTGACTGGACATCACAATAACCTTTGTTCATACATGAAAATAAAAGCATTTGATTAAAACATTCAGAGCGATATTGTTTCCTTATACACAGACTTCTGTGCAACAGTCAAACATGTACATACTGTACACATAGTCATGCTCTTTTTGGGCACTGTGCACCTAAAGCACTGGCTACACAATGTTGTGTTTCTCCATACATTTGGACAGAAATACTGTAAGAAATGACAGCTTTAAAGCATGTGCAAATACAAGCATCCTGCAGACGGTTTGGGAGGACATGGACACAAACGGGGGATGAATTCTGTTGGTCTAGGCGGCATCAGCTCACAGCTCGGATGGTGTGGCAGTGAACTGGATCACTCCACCGCCCTGCCGCAAACACAGAAACAGACATGAGAGGTGTTTCAGCACTCTTGACTAGCAGTGAACACGCATACACAAAAACCAAGCCTTAACGCTCACAAAGCCATTTGAAGGCATGAGGAACTGCCAAAATGTCATCGCAACAATGATATCAAACTAAAATGTGTGAACACAACCACATGCAAACATGTTCACAGGCCGATCATTCTAGAGTCAAGCAGGCTGCACAGGTTTAGCACTCACAACGTGACCATTTTGTCTGATATAGTTTTGAGGGAAAACAGGCGCGAGACATGCTGGGCATTCAAAAGGTAATGGCTGCTTCAGACAACTCACAATTACTGTCATTAAATAGCTGAGTTTGTTCATCCCACTGTCCAACACTCAAAAACATGCCACTTATAATGATAAAAGCAGTAAATTGTCACATCAGAGAAGATGGAACCAGTGAATGTTTGGCAAGATCTGACAAATTATTAAAAAAAGACTGAACAATTCACAGAATTGTTCCAGAACCAGCTTTAATGTGCTTTCATTGTCTTGTTTTGAGCTCACTTTATTACAGAAATGTATTTTTCTAACAATAACCTTTTTTTTTAAACCTGTCTGTTCTTTAGATCTTTAGAAATCTCTAAAAAAAGACAGGTTCACATTTTACACACACGTCAGTATACACCTTGAAAGCCGCCACCATCATTCTCTCCATGTGAAGAGACGGGGAACAAAATCCTAGATCTGTGTAAAATATTATTCTACAATATCAGCTGAAGCTAGTATGAAGTTTCAGCAGTCAGAGTTACTAATATTAAGAGACTGTCTTCCAAAGTTACATGTTACTAACAAAAACAGGTGATTCTATAACAAGAAGACAGTAACTCTGGAAGGTTTTAAGTGTGAGGACTGTGGATTTTGTCCCCATTCAACCATGGACTCTTTCACATGTCCACATGGGCTTGTCAGTATTGTGAGAAAAAAAAAAAAAGTGAACCTATCCTTTAATGTATTTTACTACACATTGTATAATGTGTTATGGCTCTGAGCCCGGGGGTATAACTACTTTGTACGAGGCATGCTGACATACACACATCCCACAGGATCAATAGGGATAAGGTGATGCAAAGAGAGGGGAGCCCAAACAGCCATGCTAGGAGGGGTTTCTCATGCTGAATATGAGAAATGTGCATAGCGGGAAACAATCACATTCACTAAATCTCATTTACCTCATCATCATCATCATCATCATCACATTCATTATACTCATTAAACCCATCACAAACTGCCTGAAATTAAAACAAGACAAAAGTAAATGAGAAGCAAATATAGACAGAATTACACTAATGTGAGTGTTACACTAGCAAATTCATTTAAAGCTGCAGTTGTTTGGCATGAAGGAAATAAAAATACAAAGCAAACTGAGGTTACCTTGGACTTATTGCTCTTGAGCTTGCCTAAAAATGCCAGTGTTTCCTTTTTTCCAACAGCCTGGGCCTGTGACAGGTGAAGAGCAAGAAAGAGTAAGAGGGTGGTTTACTTTATGACTTTAAGTGTTATCAAAGTGGATTATGTCTCCCCAGAACAGACCACTTGAATCGCTGTCTGTCCATCATAGCCTGGTGTGCTCAGATCTGCTCCGGCCAGGCCCCAGATTTCCAGGCCCTCAAGGTCACCGCTGGCTGCCAGGCTGACACACAGGAAACCACAGTTATTACAGCAAAGGCCTCCATTCTTCAAAAATCTGTATTTTTAACACAGACAGATTCTGGGTGAAAGACTGACTGTACAAAGAAACAGGGCCAGCACATCAAGGGAAGAAATCAATAACGTTGGGCTTCGTGATTCACGGATGATTGTTTTGGACTCATCGTGTCTTAATAGCGACACAAGTCATGCCTATCGTACCGTACAGAAGGCATGTTGCTGCAAATGTAAATTGGAACTGTCTCGACAAAATCTGTGGAGTGTCTCAGGGCACATAAATAACAGTGGCCAGCCAGTGTGTCATAAACTGTACTTGCCAACGTTAGAGATGCAGAACAGATTCAAAGCTATGCTGCTAGGGAGCATTCCTACAGTTTGTGCAACAGTGAGACAACTGGTTGTACCTGTGTCAGCTATGTAGGATGGGTAAATGGCCGAGCGACTGAGAGACGTGTTTGTGTGTGTCTCACCTGCACAGTTCTGTTCCCGCTTCCTCCAACTCCTCTCTGGAGAAGTGGGCGCCCGTCTTTCTCAGGAGCTTCACAACTTCCTTGTGTCTAAGATACAGGTCGTGCAATGAGGGGATGTAATTATTACTGTAAAAACTTAAATACTATTAGCATATCATTAGTGGAAAAAACAAAGCAGTAAATCTAGGAAATCCTATAAAAAGGTATAAATTGCACATAATGGTTTCACATGTAATTTAATGCCATTGATTCTAAACTTTTCAATTTTTGACTTTCAGTGACACAATCAGTGCAATAGTGGTTGTAGTTTGGCAAGTAAGAACACGTTCCTTATAACCCACAATGCACCACCCACACAGGACATTTGCAGCAGTGACACACTAGCAGTGACATTTGGAGCGGCAGGAATAAACAAGAAAACAAAACGCACAAAAATTGTTATTTATAAGTTGGAGCTGATACAATTAACACAACATATCAATTAGATGCTTAATTGTTAAGAGAGAGAATTATCAGTTGGTACACTTCCAGTTATTTCTATATGCTATGCTAGCACAAACTTGAGGCTTTTATTCAGAGGACAGAAGGTGAACTACACATGCAAAGTGTTACATTTGTCCACAAACAACCAATTCAACATAAATGAACAATACCATTTCAAATACTTGATAAACAAACAGGAACTGGGAGCCAATAATAAGTTCAACACAACTCAGTGGACTCACTAAGAAAAAGAATCTGTCTTGAACTTTGTCTTTATTTTTCTGTATTTAATACTAAACTCCATGGCTCTTTCCAGGAAACTTTTAAGAAATTATGAACTTGTAAAATAAGGCCTTAGCGAAAAGACTGACTTTCTGTAGAGAGATACAAAGCCAGTATCTTTCATCTGTGAAACTGGGAGCAGGCTGGTAGGACTGGTTCAGAGGACACACCCCACATTTATTCTGCAAGAATTCTTTCTCTCTGCCACTCCTTATATGGACAGCAGGCTATAGCACACTGAAATGTTGCCTTGATTCAAGGTGCGTCAGATATGTTGACATCTGGACAGCAACTCAAAACTCCAGTTGTATCACTTTGTGTCATTTCATTAAATACATTTATAGGAAGGGCACAGCAAGCCAACGTGTGTAGCATGCTATAGGAAGTGTAACAACAGGTGTTAGCACTCTAGTGCATCCCTCCAGCATCACAAAGAAAACAAGTCCACACTCGCAGCGCCAGCCGTTAGAATAAGTCAACAGCCATTTGGCACAACTTCGACACACAACGTTTTCACCCCGAGGCTCAACATAGCACTAAAATAGGCACAATAAGTCCCGACAGACATTTACAGAAATGTCAGTGATTTGGTAAAATCTACACTGTCAAATGACAATTAGCCTGACTGGTTTACAATTATTGCCTAGCCTCTAAACTCTGAGTTGCTCCCTTGGTTTCAACCCGCTTTGACAGCCGCTGCTCCTTTTACATCATTAAAGCAGAGCCAGACTCCCTACCTTGCACCAGCTCATTTAATGAAGTCCCCTGTATTGGAGCTATTAACATATTTGCAGGGAACAACTCAGATGACTGTGAGGAATTGGGGTAGAGAGTGTTTAATGTAGTGTGCGCAGCTTCATAAAAGGACATTATTACCTACAAAGATAAAACCAAACACATCAACCCTTATAGTTAAAATGATACGAGGTTTACCTGAAGCGGACAGCGTTGGACAGGGGTGTAGCCCCATAGCGATCTTTAGCATAGACTGTAGCTCCATGATTCAGTAGGTACTGCACCATTTTGAAGTGGCCCTCAGAGGCAGCGACATGTAGAGGTGTACGTCCATCATAGTCACCCAGACACAAGTTACTGCCCTGAGACAAAGAAGAGCGTGAAACCATCACTGTATTTCATCTGGCGACTAATGGAGAAGTCTGAGGAAAAAACTGCAGCTCTTCATAAGTCTGGCTTGAGGAACAACAGTGCTCAGTTGTTTAAGAAAATTTCTTGAAATAAAACTATAGATGTTTGTGACCTGTCTTTACGTCTTCATTAGGAACAAACGAGAATGTGTTGTGTGCTAAAATACTGAAGACGGACGTGTGGTTGGCCCCATAATAGACATTATGATTTCTATAATCTATGTGTGCCTGTAGAATCAAAGGCAACAACCACATAAACGAGAGATAGGTAGATGAGGTTTATTACAAACTGCAACCGTAGTGAACTGGGCACATTTCTCCCACAATATAAAATCACTGATCTTCATTAATTATCAAGCATTTACCTAAGTATATGGATACAAGGATAAAATTTAACATTTGTCCCATATGGCAATCTCATCAACAACTGCAAATCAGCCAACACACATACAGACATACATGTGACCGCTGGGACAACTCCTGGCTTGCCTTACCAGTCGGACCTCATGTTTTGTTTGGCTGCGCGCCTGTTTCCTACACCCCACTAATAACGGGATCAAGCAACCCTGGAAATTTGTTAGTGAACCATCTGTGTGACAGGCCTGCCTGGAAACGTTGACCCTACAAACCAAACATGATCAAGATAAGACAGGTCAACTCTGAGGACAACATGGAAAAGCTTGTGGGACATTTCCCTGCGCAATACTGTCTCTGGAACAAACAATAACAATCCCATGGTGTGTGCATGAAAAGGTTACTTATATTCTTGACAGACAATAAAAAATAAATAAAAAAAACAACTGGTGATGACTATCAATTTGTAGTGTGTGGTAGAGATTGTATCGTCACTTACCATTTCTTTTAAAGCTTCTAAAGATTCTATGTCTCCAATCTTAGCAGCAGCACAAGCCAGTGGGGGAGTCAGAGCATCACGGATGGCTTCCAGCTCCTGTAAACACCACAGACTTCAGTTATACTAATACTACAACATGTTTGTGTTGAGTGGTTACATCCCATTTCCCTTATGTGAGCACTTCTCCCTACTCCATCCTCACTTGACCCAGAGGTCGTTCCACTCCGCCATCTTGAAGGATGTCCCAAAGCTCTTATTCCTGCTCTTAGGAGCAAGGAGGCTACCTGGAGGAGTCATGACAGAGGATACACGAGACCCTCCTTCACAGAAGTCTTTTATAGTCCGACACGCCCCTTTATTGGGTGCCCACTGGTGAATGGATGTTTCAAATGAAGGATCGGGGGGAAAAAAAGAGCATCATGTTTTTCCTTGATTCTTCCTTGCATCTTTTCCTCACATCTTATGCGGGCGGGACTAAGACACAAGGGAAAGATGCAAGTAAGGGAAACATGGATGCAATTAAGAAAACTGGGATTTACCCAGGGTGCCCTCACCTCTTTGCAGCTGATGCTCAGAGATTTGGCGATAACCTGGATGAAACGACTGTCGCTCAGACACAGCTTGGCTCCTGCTATGTCAGCACTCATCTCACCTCGCAGATTCTGACCCATCATCTGAGTTAGGGTGACAGACAAACACAGCTTTGCTTCACTTGTCCTCTAAAAACATAGTTACAAAGAAGAAAGCATGCAAAGTGATGTCATGTACGAATGTAGATGCTGACCTTTTTCTTGCCATTTAGATTGAGCTCCTTCTTGGCCAACACGTAGGACAGCTTTGACAGGGCAGCCTCTGGAGTCATGTCACAACCAGATATCAGCCCTGCATCCATCAATACCTGAGAAATCATAAGAACATGTGATATGACTGGCTGTTTGCTTTGTTCTTAACTGAGCAGTCCCTCCATATTTGATTTAAAAAAATGCCATGAACTACTTTGCCAGTGGCGTAAGATGCACACACGGTCCCCCTCAGACACTGGGTGGAGTTTACAATGATGACGCCAGAGTCAGTGGCCTTCTTCAGCTCCTCAATCAGATCAGGACGATTATTTGGGGCATTGCCACTGCCGTAAGTCTCCAGAACCACACCCTCCATGGGCGGCTGTAGGAAGGCCCTCACCTGGACATAGACACAAACACAAGTTAAGTTTATAAACACTCTCAAATTATGGCAAATTCTACCGGCTACTCAACTGTGTAGACTTAAATTGAGGAAATTAGTATCCCATATTATTTTTCCTGCAGCCCCTTTCACTCTGATGCATGCGACATTCCACTATCCTAAAACCCCATCTGGTGCCATCTATGCAACCAGTATCTCAATCACTGGTTGGCTGGCACCAGGAGGCCTTATACCACATCATTAGCCAGGGCATATGACTAGAATGGCAGATGACTGAGATGGCAGGAACGAGAGCAATTAATCTGAAGGGGTTAGCAAGCATAAAGGTACTTGGCACAGCCAAAGCAGTTAACCATAAAATAAGAGAAGAAGGTGACATTAAAAGTGCCAAGTTCAGTCACTATTTTTTGATGCGATAAGCAGTTTGACAAGAAATGTTTGACGCAGATTTCCAGTGAAGCTCTTACACAGCAGAGACGGTAGGCACACGGGAGCCTGGTGCCTCATCAAAGTGCTGCCTCATAAAGGCAGTTAAAGGCTGAAAGGAAGTCTTAATAGCCGAGATGGGCAGTGGGAGCAGATTGAGACAGTAAAGTCACTCTCCCAGCAGCCTCTGCAAGGGGAGGTGCAGCTGAACGGTACAGTATCTATACCAATCCTCCCTCTTTCCAGTATGATTGGTCATGGACCATAACTCGTTCTCATCTTTCTCTGGGCTGAGCTTTGACGGCAGTTTACATGACCGGGAAAGTCACGGAAGACGGGTAATGGCACGTTTACATTAAAGTTAGCTATATTTTATTGCAGTTAGACAAAACAACAGTTTTGAGCAGTCTGCTACCTTTGAAAAACATATTTTTAATGACATTTTAATGCTCTGAGAATGAAAACTAGGTCATTACAACATTCCTGGCTAAAAGATTTGCCCCATGTTGGTTACGTTTTTAATGCATTCCTTTCATCATTTGACGTTGAATTTTGTGATTACCCATAAAAGGTGGGATGACATCAGGGATCAGAGATGTATGTTTATACAGTGTTGTAGTCAATTCCTTAAACCTCATGTCCCCATGTTCGGTTCAAGTCCGAGTCACTAAAGAATAATCCAAGTCAAGTCTAAGTTGAACCCCAATTACATGAGTAAGAGTCATCAAGATCTACATTAAATACAATTGACACAGCTCTCACCATTTTATATTCCAAGCTTTCTAACAGTGTATTGCATCACTATATTGCTCAGCAATTTGATATATACAATCATTTACAGAAAGGCAGGGTGTACACTTCAATGGAAGTGTGCTGGGATAAGCAGGGTGTGGGTGAACAAATACAATATCTTATAACAAATTATTATGGTCTATCACTAAGGTCAGAGCCCTTGTCTCCAACTTCCAAGTCCAAATGCAGTCAGTGGTCGTTTCTGAGTCCAAGTCTGAGTCATCAGTGCTCAAGTTCAGTCACACATCCTGAAAATACGGACTTAAGTCAGACTCGAGTCCGAGTGCTGGACTTGAGTACTCCAACACTGTGTTTATACAACCAATTACATATGAAACAGGTAAAAGGGGTTCCTTTACCAGGTCTGGAAATATCTTGGCATTTTGGTCCAGTTCAGGGGCTGTACCACCAGCATTTTACCAACTACATTTCAGGGAGTGACTTACAGTAGCAGTAGTGATTCCTGGGAACAGCCTGAGCAGGCCTACATTACGGTTCAGCTCAGTTCTGACTTGAAACTTTACTGTGGTGGCTGCCCTCCAAACTGTATCCCAGTTGACTACAGATCACAAACAGATACAATTTTTTTTTAAATGGTTACAATCTAGGTTTATTTAGCACATGAAGACAGGCCCATTAAACCACTGGCTTACTTGTAATATCCACTTCAGCTGTGGCCAGTGGAGGCAAGTTAGGGGAGGAGAATGCATTGAAACTCCCAGCATCCACTTTGGTCACACGGTTCCCTCTGTAGAGTTTGTTGTAGAAATACAAGCACACCTGAATAGAGATAGATATGGATATATATATATATAATGCACCACATTGCTCTTCAACAAAGACAAAATCCTTTTGACAAAACGTGGAAGCCTGTGTACACGGACCTAAGGATGGCATTGTTTGATCATAAACCCATCACATAATGCCTGTTAGTAAAAAGATTTTAGTTTGTTCTTAGTGGTCTCCTTCAACACAGTAAAACAGACACAATTGTTACCGCACTTTGGTCTATCACAGGTAGACAGATAAGACTTTTTAGTGCTCTTCCTGTTCTGGTAATTGTTGTTCAGCGTTGCGAAACACATCTCCCTGTCGTTAGAAAGCATTCTCATCAGACAAGTCGCTTAGAAGAGCATTTGTTACCTTTAGTGTGCTGACAGAGCTCACACATCTTTGCAGAACACACATTTTCTCAACACATTAACAAAATATGTTTATAATGGATTATTTGTTTTTACTTTTCAGTTCATTTATGTCATTCAATCACACACAAAATAATATGACAGTGATAAAGGTAATATTCAGAAAATAAAGCCACTACAAGTAATCACAATTATTCTTTCTTTCTTTCATGTTCACAATTACACCAGCTCTTAATTAAGTATATTTTTCTAATAATCGCATACCATATGCGTGAACATTTGGGTGCCATCTCAGTTTTCTCACCTCAGGAATGACAAATTGGCCAGCAATCAGCAGTGCCCCCAGCAGGTTGTCTCTGCCATCATTCCTCATCTCAAAGATAGGCACCTAAAACAGAAAGTGACTCATCTTAAGAACATATGAAATACTCCTACAAGACAGATTTAGTCTTTTTGTTTGTTATAAAGAGGACAGCAGCTCATACTTGTGAACCGGTGAGGATGATTGGTTTGCCCAGATGTTCACACATGAAGGACAGGGCAGAGGCTGTATACGCCATAGTGTCTGTGCCGTGAAGGATCACAAAACCATCATAGCTTTCATAGTTTTTCTGGAGTCAGACAGGGGAAAAAAAACGATCAAACAACATGGATTATTTTCATTTGTTTGTTCTTTCATATAATATGCTCTACTGTATGAGCACTATTGACTAACTGTTGGATTAATGTCTAGCTTTTGAAGGCGTACATTTTGTGGAGCTATAGCACTGTAGAAATCAATGACAATCGATCGTGTAAAAATGAAAATAATTCAAAAGAAAATACCTCAATGTCCTTTCCAATTCGACCCCAGTCATCGGTGGTCATATTGCATGAGTCCAGCAAAGGGCTATACTCTAAGACAGTGTACACTATCCTCTTATTCTGTTTATTCATCCTGAAATAGAGAGAAGTTTATCTATGAGGTTTTGGTCATGTATAAAAATTCAGTCATCATATTTCCAAAACTAAATGTAGCGAGAACAAACAGCCCATAATAAATCAGTAGTTTTAGTCATTTCAAATGCAGCTGTTCCCTAAAACACACAGCCTAAAGGACACATGGTTAAAGTAATGGTAACGTAATGACACATGGCTAATAATTATCTTCACTGTGGCAAATGTTTTTTTTTTTTTTTTTGTCTTTATTGTATTCATTTAACATAGTTGGATCAAGTTCTAGTTAAATTTGAGAAGTGAATATAAAGAAGACCGGGGGAATACTAAAAACCAAACTGACTTTATGAAGCAAGACAAAGTCTATTTAACCAGGCCTTCTGTCTCTGCAGCAGGGTGCCAAAACCTGTTTCAGACACAGAGTGAGACAGTTTTGAAAGTATAAAAGGGAGGGGCACGGTAGGGACATTGGCAGAGAGAGCAGCACTTTAAAACTAGCCTGCTCTTTTCCACAGTAAAGTACTAATGTTTTATGGAGTTTTACTACTGTAGATTGCAAGTACAGGCAAAGCTGGGGTACATAAGGTGGTGGATTTGAGGTTATTTGGCGAGTCCTTTTGTGTTAGGGCAAAAGACCGTGTTTCTTTTTCATCCCAGTTACAAGAAAGGGAATCTTAAATGTATGCATATTTATGTTGCCCCTAAGTGGAGTTTAACTCGGGCATCCCATGGCTCCACCTGGAACGCTCAGTATGAGGCAGCGTGACTGGCTAAGTAGCCATGGAAAGATTTTCTACTTAATCTCCCTTTTAAAGAAACAGGATGTGACACCCCACAGATCACCACAGGGCAGCCTTATAACATGGAGATAGGAGCTGAATGGAACAGTTGGGGGGGAGCAGGGGAGCCCCAAATCACCCAGGGGTCCTAGAGACACTCTTCTAATTAGCCTCAAGTCCACCTATGCCCCTACAACATATATTGTTGATATATTTAAGCCAAAACGCCACAAAAACACTATTCAAATCACCAGTAATTCATCTATCAGGCGGTGTAAGGTTTAGCAAAGCCACACATTAGCATACTCACGTTAAGATGCCTCATAGCTTAAGGATAATAACTGAATGTGTGTGTGTGTGATGAGGACTCAAGAAGGTTGGAGGTGGGGGGACAAATAGCCTTGTGGCATTGCCTCTCAGCATCACATGAATAAAGCATTTCAGTAAATCAATAAACTAATCCCCCTATCGGAAAGAAATATTCAACAAAGGCTAAGCAATGACATACTATCAACAGTATGCTCATTAAGCTTGCATATGAAACCATTTCAGTTGATATTAGCATTGCATAACCTCAAGGATGTCCAAATATTAAGTCATATTGAATACACAAAACAACAGTAAAACCCCATATCGATATTTTTAAAAATATTACAAAAGGAAAGGTTTTAATTAGTCATATTAAACTGACAGCATTCCAGACGTTTATCAAGCAGCTACTCACTAAATAAAACCTCCAAAAAACATTAGGCTCATCCAGCTGAGCTACTCCATGGCCACACATTAAACCAACTGGCTTGTGGGTGACGAGGTGACATTAGGAAGTGCAGAGTAAGAGACACAATAGGCAATACACATTTTCATGCTCTTGTATCCTTCCTGGTAGATTTTCCTATTGCCAAAGGCCACGATGGCATGCATTTCCTCTCAGGCAAGCACACAATAACATTTGATCTTAAAGATAGCGGAGATGTCAAAAGACTCAAGCACTCGGCAGGCACATGCACCAAAAGTACTACAGCACCCGTGAAAGAGCTGGTCAGAATCAGACGCTGGTTTCCTGTTAAAGCAACAAAAGCAGTTTAGTGTCATTAAAATCACTGCAGAGTCATTTTTACTGAATCTCTGCTTTTTCAGATATGAAATGTAAGTTTGATGTCTATAATACCAACTATGATTACTCTATGATATGGCGCAGTGATTATTAATTTTTAAATGAGCGTATACTACCAACTCGCCTTATGAAAGGCCTGACAAGCATATCTGCAATGTGACCTTTCATAATAATAATAATCGTATGATACTCTTCCAAGTACCCACAGTTTACATTAAATATCATTTAAACTTTTGCAATGTTTGCAAAACATCATCCCACTCTAGGACATTAAAAACACTGTTGTGACACTGTTGTATAAGGTTATTTTTTTAACATTTGTTAAGGTGGCATTTACTAACACTGAGACTTTATGCATTTATAAGAAAGCCATGTAGTCAAACCACAAAGATCATATGAGCAGAATGTGGTTTCTTGTATTTCTCCTGAAGGAAGTTACAGCTAGTCTGTCTTGAGACTGAAAAGAGAGGGACTGTGGCTGTACTTACGGCAAAACCAGGATGTTCTCTGATCCATAGTAGTCATACAGGCAGGTCTGCTGTGCATACGTCTCATCATGGAGAATGGGCAGCTTGCGCAGGCTCTTCACTAAGGCATTGGCTTTTGGTGCGAGCACTGTGGGTTACAGACAGAAGGGTAAAGGCTAAAAACCATTATAAAGCCTCATCCGGTTCTTTCAAACCAGGAACTCAGAGGGACGACTCAGACCACTTGAGTATATAAAAAATATATCCGTGCTGGTTTATTCAAAAAGTCACAGGCAAGAATTCACACTCCAAGTCCAGAGATCTTCCAACCCCAGGCTGCCCAAGCAGCCCGGAAGCAGCAAGACCCCGAACCAAGCATTGCTATACCATATTAATCCTTTCTGGGCTGTCGAACTGTGACGTCACCTGATAAGCAAGCCTTGCAGCTGCCATAACGTTTAGCCAAAACATGAGGAAAAGTCAAGGTGCGTGACTGTTGTTTTCGTGGTGTGTATCTAAAACAATTGGACATAACCTTACACATTAAGACAAATATTAAGACTAGCATTACAGTTGACACTAACAGCAGTTTTCCTGTAACCTTGACGTGCCTGCAGTCTGCACTAAACATTCATAGACAACAAATCTTTGAATATCTATCTAACTAAAAAATAACCTAACAAGGGGAAAAAAAAAGAGTTATAATAGTTATATTTGATAGCTTGCTCTCTGAGGGGTTACTGATAATCAGTGGTGATTTATGAGAACAGTAGAGAATTTCCCGCTCATCACAACATCACTCATCAATCTAATACTGAACCCTAATGGTAGATGGAAGAAATAGCAATGTGACGGGTGTAGATTTATTCATACAGCTGGAATAAATTATTATTCTTATTTACACCGAGTTAATAGTTTAAGCTATTTAACTAGGTGTGCTTTTGTAATTCTATTATATCATTTGACAAGATAATGTTGCAATAGAAGGTGAGTACTGGAAATAAAGTAGAATTAAGAGATAGATTTGCATAATTTAATAAGAGCTTGTTTTTGCAAATGTAATAAATAAAAGAGTAGTTGAATACAGGAAGAGAAGCACTGAGGACCTTGAAGCAGGCGGAAGGTCCTTTGAATGTCACATTGTCTCAGTACATATTGAGGATGTTGTCCAGCGCCTCGTGTCAACAGCAAGTTGTTCATTGGGTGAATCTGTGGTGTGGCTCCGAATTGCATAATAAACAACACTTCTCTTTAGCACTGTCTGCCTAAAGATTTCTCAATTTTGAGTAGCACAACCTTTATTTTGATTAAAGTTAAATGTGCTAGCTCTTTTAATCACTAAAATTGTTGTCCTTAGATTCAGAAGAAACAACTTGCTCGCGTGCCGTTATAACGTTACACCAACGCAGTTTCATTCACCTTGCTAACTGCTTTAACAAGGTTTGAGCTGTGGGAATAACTAAACTCTACGCTGGGCTATTTTGGGATGTTGCTGTCAGGACTGGCTTAAACGTTATTTCATGCCTCATGCTCACGGCCATATGAAGCAACGTGCATTCCAACCTTGCAAACAACAAGCTACCTAGTGTGCGAGCTAACTGCCACGCTGCAGCTGCTTAAGACAGAAAAACAGCAGTACAAGGAGTCCGGTCAGCCATATCTACCGTCGTCGTGAAGGGTCATCCCAATAGTTCCTCCGGTATTGATGACCAGGACTCGCGCCTCGGCGGAAGGCGAAATCACCGAGTCAAACGACTCGGGTGAGTTACAGCCCGATAGCTTTCTCCTTCGACACGGATGCAGCGGAATGTTTCGCGGAGAACCAACATCATTCACTTCTTTCATGTCCAGCTTCGGTTGCGACAGAGCCCTGGCAAGAGATGTCATGTTGTCTAAAGAGGAATCCGCCATGATGACTTAAAGTTGGCCGGTGTAGGTGCTTCCCCTTTAAAAGCGCTTTAAGTGTTGAACATACTGTGATGTTCAGGTTGTGTCAGCACTACGTAAAGATACAAACACCGCCCGCTTTCTCCCGCCTTATATACAGAAAAGCAGCTTCTATGGTAATTATGTGATGTAGTAAATAGAGTGCAGAACTATCGTTTTATCGTTTTAAATATATTTTAATGACGCAAACAGTACTCTACTGCCACCGCTGACCCCCCTCTGACGTCATAACGTTGATAGGCAGTGTCCACTGATGTCAGTGACTTGGCCGTGACCTCAGGTGCAACAAACCTGAAACACCAAAAACCCAGTGCAGGACTGTGTGTGGTTCAGTGTCACACTAAAAGTGCGGGGGGTTGTTTTTGAATGGTATGGCTACAGCCGTTTCAGGGGATAAAGATTATCTTGGCTTTGATTAATTAGTCTACTTATTATTATCTTACTCATGTGTGTGTAATTAAACTGTGCCATACACTATGCTGTAAATTTTTCTTTTTAGCTTTTGAAAAATGTTCTTATTTTTATTGTCAAATTGTTCAAAACATAATTTGCTATGGTTGAATGATTTTATAAAATGACCATTGTTAAAAACTATATTTAAGTGTAAAAATGTTTCTCCCAATGTAATCTGTCAATTGATCCAAGAATACTGAAGAATTAAGACCAAGCTTTGCTCATTAAGTTAATTGTTTGGATGTCTTAACCCTGATGTCTATCCAGGGACCAGGCTGTAAATTAGCTTTAGCTATGTAGTGTAGCTATAGGTACACTACATGTACTGCACTAGCTAATTATTAGGTTATATATTATTAAAAAAAAGGGTGGGTCCACAGTGTTGTGATTTATTATTATTATTAGTAGTAGTAGTAAGAGTATGGATATTGATGGAGGAAGGAGGGGGTGGTTCTAGGATGCTGGAACACACTATTGGACCAACTCAACAATAGGCCAGTTAGTGAGTTAGTGCCTTCACTCCTACACAGAATTGTATTGGCATTGCTAATAATACAGTTATTGACTCACTATGGTTGTTACTGGTGTATTTTTCTTTTGATTGACAGTTTTGGTAGAACAGTGTCCATGGCTGGACAATTGAGCGGCCTGGCTCTCAGATATGATTGCCTACCAAGCCATTTCAGTGCACTGAAATGGAAACAGGAATGTGTTTACCAATTTTGCCTGAAGAAACCTTTTCTCTGAAATGTGTAGGTGTGTAGCCTACACATTAAATGGAGCAGAGCCTTTGTTAACAGTGTTAGTTCCTGTGCTTTTCCTGCTGCTGACAAGTCAAAATGCCAAGGTCTTTTAGGTCAGGTTCTTTAACTTATTGTAGATTGCCACTGGGTGATTTATGCATATTTAAAAGTTTACTTGTGTTAAAGTTACCCTAACAAAATCGTAGTCAGTACATACAATAAAATCATTGGACCATATGCACAGTTTTCTCTTTATAATGTGCGACTGACCCTTTTGCTTTCACCTAGCTTTCTTGAATAATCATATATTCATGCCAATGCAATTCCTGATTCAGAAACTATATATTTGGCCTCTTGAAAGATTACTTTAAATCATTTGGAGGCTGAAATGATTAAAAAAAATCTCTATTTAAAAGAAGGCAAAACCAATTTGAAATCTTGGCCTATAACAAGTTTATTCAGTGCTTCAATTCTCAAGTGGATAGGGGGTAGAAGAAAAGTTAGATCTATGTCCATTAGCCTAATATTAAATGGTTACATTGGAAAGAAACTGTAGGCGTATTAGTGTTGATTTCTAGAGAAGCATTGTGACATTGTACCATTAAGTGGATGCTAGATCGCGATTTATTCATGTGTTCATGCTGTCACGGTAGCCAAACTAGCAGTCGGTTACATAGGCCTTTAAGCTGAACAAAAAAAAAACAAACCTGAGTGACCCACGCCACAATAGACAAAAAGAAATGCACAAAAGGAGAAGTGCCGCAAGAGGGCGATGTTGCCCTTTATATACAGGGTCACTACACTAATCATATGCCAGTAGCCTAGTAGATACAAAAATATTACCCATGCAATGAATTGCCATCGATAGACCTATGTAAATAAAAACATTTTCGTCTTTACAGTAGTCATTCCAAAGACACCTAATAAAACAGGTCATACCCCTAGATACTAACGACGTCAGCTGAAAGCACGGTTTACAATAGAGCACAATGTTACATTCATTCATTGCTGTCATATAAAATGTTAAGGAAAAACTATATACACTGTATAAAAATTGCGTCACATTGTCAGTTTGCGTATTTCATTGTTTGTTCTGAGTCGCACTGACTCGTACATGCTCCAGGCACTAAGAGCTGAACAGCAGCAACTGAATGAAGTACACGGGAGGAAGTGGCGGTTAATGCAGTTCCACACCTTTCCGGTCTAGCAGCATTGCGACCAGCTCGGCTTAAAGGAGAAAGACGAGAGCTGGGTGAACTAATCAAGACGGGAGGGGGGAGATAGAAGGTAAATGACTTATATATCAATTAATCGTTTAATTCGGTAAGCTCTGAGGCAAATATTTTGTCATTGTTGTACGCATTTTATATCAAGATATTAGTTTGTAACAGCTAACTGCCGTTAGCTAGTTAGCTTAAGGCTAGCTTGCTGGGGAGCAGACGAGCTAATGTTAGCTTACTTGCCGTTTTTAGCAGCCATGAGCGGTAACATTAGCCTGCTAATTTGGCATGTCTGACACTCCTCCCAAATCTGTTTTCAGGGGGACAAGAAGCGGAGTTTAATGAGTGGATACACGTGGTGCTGAATCACCGAGGATTTTTTAAAGAAGAGGTCCTTTGCAACATGCTGAACTTTATGAGGAATTGATGGAGTAGGCACAGAAAGCTGCTTTTTTTTTTTTAAATCCGGTAGCAGTGAAGAGATCTAGGGCGCACCCGGTGAGAGGGACCGTCAGACACAAATACCAGAAAGGATTCACAAGTGGTTTTTCGGCGCCTTAACGTACACACCTCTGCAGTTTTTAATCGGCACGGCCTGTGTTTGCTTTATGTTGACTTGGACAACACAATGAGCGTCCAACAACAGCTGCTGCCAAGTTTTTAGCTGCACCGTGCCATGTTGTGTATAGGCCCAGAAACACTGTGATACTCTGAACATAAATGTCACTGTACTTCACAGTTTCCTTACGCACACTCCCAAACTAAAAAGACCCTCCATATTGTACGTTTTAACACCAGTGTGCATTTTTTAAAAATGTTCCCTACATATTCTCTTCACTGAGTGATGTTTCCACAATTAAACCCATAGTCAAAGTGAATAACCATCAGCACAGCATCACACATTATCTTGTTACGGACAAAGTATTTATGCACAAGAGTTCAAAATGGGGAAAATGCTCTCAAAAATATTTGGCAACAAGGAGATGAGAATATTGATGCTTGGACTTGATGCAGCTGGAAAGACAACAATCCTTTACAAACTGAAACTCGGACAGTCTGTCACCACAATCCCCACGGTCGGCTTCAATGTGGAGACTGTCACCTACAAGAATGTCAAGTTCAACGTCTGGGATGTCGGAGGCCAGGATAAGATTCGTCCTCTGTGGCGACACTATTACACGGGCACCCAAGGGTTAATTTTCGTGGTGGATTGCGCGGACAGGGATCGCATCGACGAGGCAAGACAGGAACTCCACCGCATCATTAATGACCGGGAGATGAGGGATGCCATCATCTTAATATTCGCCAATAAGCAAGATCTTCCGGATGCCATGAAGCCACATGAAATCCAGGAGAAGCTGGGATTGACCCGCATCAGAGATAGGAATTGGTATGTTCAGCCCTCCTGTGCCACCACAGGTGATGGACTGTATGAGGGCTTGACGTGGCTAACCTCAAATTACAAATCTTAATGATTGCTGACTGTTTTAGGTCAAAGCTATATGAAATTTGCAAGTAATAACTTCTCCGAATGAATACGGTTAAGAAGAAGTTGATTATCTCCCATTTATTTTTAATACTAAGTTTACCCCATGACTAATTTATCTTTAACTGGGTTTGCTTGCTTACACTTTGCGTGTACTCTGTAGCAGGCCTATCTCACATGCATTACTTTGGGGCTTGCTTGATGAATATTGATTAATTGGTCCTAATGTTAAAGCCACAGAGATCACCGCCTTTGCCTGTTCTTTGTCCTGTTTTATATAATTTTCTAATGAAACATTTTTAGATTCAAGCTTGTTTCAAGGTTCTTCAGTCTCTTGCATTGAACTGTTTTTTTCCCTTGTAAGGGGAGCTCTGTAATTTCATGTAGCTGACTTGGAAGGATTCTGACATTTGCTTTAACACAGTACTGTGATGAGAAGTGTTTCTTCTCAATAGTATTGACTGCAGCAAGGGGGGTGGAACCCACAATCGCCAACATCTCATTGTCATCAGTCTTGACACCAGAGGAAAAAATGACTTCATGTTTTGTTACACCTCCCAATACCCTGTGGGTTATATAGTTAACTGACATTTTGTGTCATGTCTTGATACCTACTTGTGCTGAATATTCAACAAATAGGCCTCACTAACTGAAATTTGCTTGTTGGTATGCGTTTTTCATTTTTTGGGTAATGTAGACAGTCAGCTCAGTCTTTCCAAAGGAATGTCATTATTCAGCTCTGATCTCTTTCAATCTGATACCACAGTCAATTAGTCTCAATACTGGGACATTATATGATAGCCTATATCTGTAGCATGAGTACGAAAGTACAGTAACCCTACATCAGAATCCATCTGTCGTGCAGTCAGAGGGAGCTGTTTACTGGTGAAAAGTTGAAAGACATTTTATGGTGCAGCTCTTACTCCTATTTTGACTGGGGAACCATGTACAGAATGATGTCATTGTAATGTCTTATTAAAAAAGTGATTTTAAATCTGGTATGTCTCTCTTCAGTAATCAATTTTAATTAAGCCTGTGAGTGATCAACACTTAATGGTTGGTGAAATAAGTTTCATTTATGTAGAAGTAGCTTTGTTTAACATACTGTATGGACAGTGGTTAAAAAAAAACAAACACAGGAAAGACTCAAGAATGCTCCTAGTTCAAAGTAAAAGCCCGCAGTGTAAAAATGATTGGTTTTTAGGTTTATTTTGCTGAATCTTCATAAAAGGGTTTATTTCCACCCTCAGACAAAGTTGCTGGCCTCTGTTAGTAAATGGGGAAAATGTACAAAACAGGAAGTCCAGCTGCTGGTCTTTGTGGAACAACAGCGGAGGCACGCGATAGTTTGGACAAGAACAGGAGGGGCTTTATAGATGCACCGCTGGAATTGTGTCATTTTTGAATGTTTGATCATGGTTGCCAGCCATTATTGAGTTTCAGCTGAGTTTGTTTTAGGGTGGGACCAGTTGCTTTTACACACTAAGACTGAAATCTCTTTGAGTTCCCTAATGAAATGGCTGGTCTTGAGGAAATGACAGAAAATGCACGTAGGTTAAAAATCATCGTGTGAGTAATGCTGTTATGTAAAATTAAGTTATAGTTTGCCAGTGGGGGTACATGTGCCTGGTGATATACCAATTGCTAAAGAGAGCACTGTGAACAAGGAGCCACTCCCAACCATATTAAGATACAGTATGTCTACCCTTTCCACAAAATGTGTATAATAAATGTATGATCTCTTTGGGCTATTCTACCTTGCTAAAGTGCTAAGATCAAAATCATTGCTGCTGCTGAATTCTTCACAGTTTGAGTCTGCATAACTTCAGATTTTACTACAAAAAGAAAGTTCTCTACAGATATGTCAGTTCTCTGTAAGTCTATGAGAGACAGTAGGCCACTGAGTCACAGTGGAAGAATGTTTGAGTTTCCATGAAAGCTGATTAACACGAGTGTTTTCACTCATGACAAAGACTGGCTTGATGGTGACAAATGACCTGACTAGTGTGTTTAGGGCTACAAAAGGGTAGTTAGTATTATTCCACAGATTTCAAGGGATATTCCTGTTATCCACAGCCGCACATAAAAACATTCCTCTGCTTTTTTGCATTTACAAGAACACAATGCACTCTGTCAAGCATACAGTTTAAGAAGAGTAGTTGTATTCTTGTGTATACGTGTCTGCATCCACAGACATTTTACTGCACTCACGGTGGCGTTTGCTGTGTGGAAAATCTGGTGCTTACCATGTTGCTGTAGAGGCCTCAGGATGTTTGCTTTGGTAGGTACCACAGAGGTTTCCGTCAGATAGGTCAGGTGACAAATATGACTCCGCAGCTACAGAAGATGTTTTCACATAACACACACACATAAGGCTGTGATTTAGAAAATGAGAAACATTCATTGAAATTCTCAGTCACTAAATGCTGCATGTTGAGAAAGCATTCAAGATTCAGAGGATATTTGGAAATGTTTTCAGTGAGGACTTCAAGCAGCAGTCGAGGGCCTCCATTAGATTCTTATGGCAGATTAATTGGGCTGTAATAGCCACTTTGGTTCTCTACTTTATTAGAGCCATATGATTCCTTATTGGTAATACTGCGGCCAGGACAGAGGCCATAAGCAAGTTTTTATGACCTCTCCACTATAAAGGGAGACCTCCTGGCCCTTCTGTCAACTTCTTCTGTGCTTAGCTGGAACTCCTTACCTTTATTGAGAGGAAAGGTTAGGAATGAGCTAGAGGTCAGAGAAGGAAGATACTTTAAGCATCTCACCAGTGAAGCTAACAGGATATTGAGCATTTGTTTCTCAAACTTCACTGGTGTCATGATTCACAAAATAAGAAGGCAAACTGCTTTAACACATTCAATGGTTTGTTGGGACAGTTCCTATGGCGACAGCATGACAGGATTCCCATCAGTGTGGCCTGGTGTTCTTGGTATCAGATAGGTGGCTGACTGTACTAAAAGTTTCTAGTCACTTCCTCTATTCTACATGGAAAGAGGAAGAGTGTGCAGAAATAAAAAATGACCTCACTCTCTATAAGCTAAGCTCTGCAATATTGGAAAACACATTTCACCCTTTTGTACAATTGATGGTCTTCCTTCATTAGCCAACTTATCAGAGGTTTGAAACAGCTCAGAAGTAACCGGTATTAGAGCTGTACCCCTGATATGCCTACATAGCTTAGCTGAATTATATTTGTGGTTAACAAGGCTGTGGTTTGTCTTCCTCACTTGTCTTCACTTCCGCTTAACTCCAGCTGCAGAGTAACATTTACACTGGGACAGTAGCTCTAAGATAATACTCATTTCTGACTGTGGCCTCTGAATGTTGTCATTGCTGGCTGAATGCTGGGAAACAGCCTAACAGCCACACCCAGCTGGACAATCACAGTAGCATGTGTGATGCATACAGACACAGATATTCTTGTGCACATAGGGAAACACTGTTATTAAAGTGGTTTATTTATCCACCAAAAGGGTAAGAAGGAACACCTACTCTAAGCCATGGTTCACCAAGCTTGGTATCTTCAAGGACAGTAAAACAACCTCTTTGGTTTCTCTCTCTCTCTGTCATCTGTGAGTGAGCCGTTAATAATGAACTCACAAAGAGTTCAAGACGTTCTTGAATGCCACTGTAAATGCAAAACCTTTTTACACAGATGAACTGTTTTCTTTCTACACTGTACATGTGACTTGAGATTGTTTGGACTGCAGGTGTTTCAGAGCAGCTCATACTCAGGAACAATTTTATAAAAAGTGTTGTGGTTTTTAATGAAGGCTACGCTGTGGTCTTGGTTGAAAATTTCAGGCTGTGGAGCTCTAGGTGCACTCTGGGCTTTGGTCCAAAATGCATTCCATTCATATCTGCAACTGAAGGTTTCTTGCTGTAGTGAAATTACAAATTCAGAGAACCTGATAATTATTAGGAAGTGTTAGAGGACCACTAACCATACTGCTTTTTTGTAGTTTCACTGGTCTGTTTTTTCATTTTAAAAACCATCCAATCTAAGTCCCATTACATTTTGAAGCCTCAGGGCTTCTATTTATCTTACATTATGTGGAACCCTGAAATTTGTCCATGTTTCCTCTAGTGCATTGCAGAACACAGCTGTGTGAGCGTGTGAACCAATTTGTTCCTGGACTCATATGCTATGATTTTCCAGCACTGACACACAGAGAGAGTGAAAAGGTTCATTACCTGCAGATGTAAGCAATGCAAATAAAAATCTACATGCATCTGTTTCTGAAGCACAATGAAATCACAAAGATGTTTTTGGGATACTTTGGTTTCATTCAGTCTTTGCACAATGCTTATTTGTACAGTACACGGAGCACTGACCTTTGCCATCTGAACTTAGTTTTACAACACTTAGAGAAACATTGAACTGTACAGTGACGTAGATAGATGTCCTTCATCCAGAAGCAATATCCATCTGCCACATAGATTTACTCAGCTTCCACATATTGACTGACTGGATGATGAAGATCCATGTAAAGCAACCTCAAAGGCTTCCTTCAGTGGCTTGCTACTGCACTGTCACAGTCCACATCTGACCACATCTGTGTTTCTGACAAGATTTCTATAATTACAGAAGAGTCACTGTTTGGAGTGAGAGTATGTCTGGATTAGACAATAGTTTGTGTTTGGGAGAAAATCTCAGATCTGTAGCGAGTCAGGTTCTGCTGCTCACACACACGGGCTACTGAGAGGTAATGACGCATGCAAGGAAATGTTACAGACACGCAAACACACACTGCTCCCCTCCTCTCTCAGTGCTGGGCTGCCACACAGCCTGATGATGACAAATACATCATCGGTCCAGAATGCCATAGGGACACCAGTCTATACAAAACCAGTGGTATTTCAAGCAATGGATCAATCCACTATCACATGTCTACTGCTATGTTGGAGTCGCTCCCTCATTGACCTACACACTGACTAAATATATCATTGACAAACACAAAGTTCATTACATCAGTTCTAAACACAGCCCAATAGGAGTAGATGATGTTTGAGTTGTAGAATAATCTGAAGATTATTTGTCTAACCCAAGTGTGCACAATATTCCCATAGTACCGAGTGTGTGTCCCCTCTCAACTGCAGCACAGCTGTCTTAACAGCACCCCCGCCCTCTGTCTGTTCCCCTGCAGGAGGTGGTGAGGGGGGATGCATTTAGATCATGTTTCTATAAGCTAGCTGTCCTGTCAGGCTGTGCATACTAGCACTGTACCACCTTTTACTCTCAAATCCACAAAACAATGGAGCTCTGGCCTGTTATCTCTTTGAGAAGCATAAAGTTCAGTAAGCTTAAGGGAGAAGGTTGATGTGTGTGTGTGTGTGTGTGTGTGTGTGTGTGGTTGGAGGAGGGGGGGCATCATTGCAAGGATCAGAGGAGACATTTATGCAGCCCTTCTTCCATTTTTAATCAGCCCAGTTTGATATCTATTCTTGAGCCACTCCCTAATTGTTAGTGAGAAAATGAGTCCTCCTTTCTGGAACAGTGTCTCTTGGCTCCAGGCAGCGTGATGACGGTGACACAAAGGATCCTCTGTGTCACTTGGCTGTGATGCAGCAGAGTGGAGCACACCACACAGGCTGCTGGAGTCACACTCTCCTCCACCCATCTGATTTGGAGGGGCACTGCACTACTACTCCCTCATTTTAAAAGAACCTGGGAAATGTGAGCAGACTACAGGGTCTATGCAGATGTTTTCCCCGTGTTTTATGTGTAGAAAGCATAGACTCACCCATGATTGAATTGTACATGAATCTCATATGCATACACAAAAGACAACCAATTTGATCATCATACAGTAATTCATGAACAATGCCCAGCAGTGTACCTTGTATGTTTACTCAGGAATTTAGCAGAACTTGAATTGTGTTATTCTTACTGCAGGTTTTCCACACAGGTAAGAGTTACTTCCACTAATAGCACCATCTGTTGGCAGAAAATACCCCCAATCTGTCTCGATGCATGCAGCACCACATGTTCAGTAATAAATGTTGATGGTCTCCAGAATCAACTGGTAACAGATTATAGAGGCACTACTGCTTAACTGTGAGCTGTCTTCATTTACTGCAAGCCTCCTGGTATTCCCCTGTAGTGCCAGCCCAATTAACCAACCACAAGAAAACCTTATCTATGCTGTAATCATTTTTGTTAACATTTGGAGGAGAGAACACCAGAGAGAGTGGAAAATAGTTTCTAAATGATTTGACTGGGGGAGTTATGTGTAGGCAGGGGGATGAAAAGTTGACAGAGTAATCATGTACTTCTCTAATCTCCTCAATAACTCCTCAGGGTCTTATCCCTACTACAACAGGCGGCCATGGACTTTATACCAGCTGTGAGTCAAATTAATTAGCTGAACATATTCTGGTCAAAGATGAAGAAGACCTCAACAGTAGGCTGATTTGGACTCTAGCTGTTCAGCTACCACAGGAAGAAGTGAAGGGCCACAGGGAGCAATTACCTCAAATGATCTGCTGTAATTATTTATAGTAACTTTAAAAAGGGAGAATCTCACTCTATTCATCTTGGGACAGACATTATCATCAACCAAGGGTCAGATTATTATTATTTTATTATTATTATTATCCAACCACACCTCTGTCTTTCTCCATTGCACGCACATTTCAACCAGTTCCACAATCACTGTTGTGATAATGGTTAATAGTGAAAAATTGAATGTGTTTTTCAGAAGTGCTAACAACTGATAAAAGCTCTACTGTATCTGATTGATGACTTAATGTTAATTCTATACACATATTAAAAGCATCTGCTGAAACTTGGATTATAAAGAGATACTAGTTTCTGTTCAAATAAAAAGAAATCCAACCATTAAATTTAGCACTACTCATAAATCTGAGGCACTGTGCCATCACAGATGTTCCTGCCTTACAACATCAGCACATTTCAGACAAGCAGATTAGCTTTGTGCTCCTGGATCCCATCAGAGAAATAGGACAATGGTTCCTTTTGTATTCTTCTATAAAGTGGTTTGAGTATTTAATGGGACCTCCAGTGTTCACCCCACACCATCCACATTTTTATTTGATCTGAATAGTAGGCCAGTCTGCTTATTTCAGCCCAACTTGTCTGTGTAAACAGAGAGCAGTGTGAATGGGTGTGAGGGGCCCCTACACGCCTGTGGGAGTATGGGCTGTACTTCATGGTTTATGCTTGAAAAGGAGCCATAATCTTTCAGCTAATCTCACATTTGGGGTGGAATTCCCCTCGCCTGGGGGGCAAAAGCAGGTATACATTATGTTGGCTTCAATTTTAAAAAGAAATGTAGATATGGATTAAGAATTTAAATGATATATGATTTTCCCCTCTGTCAATGTGGCAAGCCATAACATAACTTCAGTCAATAATTAGACAGGAGTACCGTTAAGTCTCATGTTTGTAGCTTCTTGCAGTTGTCAGAGGGGCGAACTCTGAATGTTCACATCTGTAGAACACAACTGTATCTTGCATAAAATCAAATAACAAACATATGCACAATCCTCAAGCCTCCAGAAACACCAAGAAATTGTGGTCCAATCCTCTGAAAACTCTGGCTTCAACAACTCATTTTATTAGAGTCAATTATGTCTGTGCTTGAGCATGTCTGCCATCTACTGTACCTTAATAGCTCTGCAATAACAGATCAGCCAAATTGACTTTATAATTTATAAAAAAGTTACTTTTTAAAAATTTTGTCTTACTTCAATCACACACATTTGTCTTAAATTTTTATTTTTTTACAAAATAAAATAAGAGAATACATTTAATATTATACACACACACCAATAGAGTCTTTAAATTTTCTATTTCACAACCTGATTTTCATATCATATTAGGGTGGAAGACCAACTATAGAGTAAGAATTTCATCACACAAACTCTTTTCTTCGGATGTGTAGGATGTGGATGTCTGGACTGCTAAACTCTGGGTCTTGTCTGTCTAAAGGGATCTCCTCACACTTGAAGCTTTGTTGCAGCAACTAAATGATGCAAAAGACCATAGTGAGACAGTGAGATACAATCCCAATGACAGATATCTCAACATAGTAAATACAAACAAAACACATGGTTAGATTCTAACCTCAAAAAACCGCCTTTCCACTTTTGGGTTGACGCCCTCAGTACGCTCCTCATAGCAACAAATAATACAGGTCTCTGGTCCAGAGAGCAGCTTTAAGCTATCCACCAGTGGAACAACTGACTGTGAGGAAATAAGTGATAACTCGCAGTGAGAAATGCAGCAGTTTGCTTTGTTACAGTGTTGATAGGTGCAAATGTGCAAAGGGTGATGTTTAACTGGAAATTCTAAGTAGAGAACTACAGTAAAATACCTGCTCATAATAGATGCAATCTGCCATAAGAATATAATGTGGGGGAGGCATGAACTCAGAGACATCTTCGCCCCTTTAAGAAATGAAGACATCAAACAGCATTTGGATATGTTGTGCAATATTCTGAACGTCCTGTTTGTATTTATTAATATAAAAATGTAAAATAAAAAATTTAAGTACAAACCATTTCAATATCTTGGCAGTTACAGATCCACTGCTGATAAGTGTCTGGTTTTCCTGGATGTTCACCTTCAGGAGGGTCTGCAAATCCTCCAGGTCTGTCACAGTAACTTGAGCTCTGTGGGGATTAATACACAGTCATGAAGACTATCTTTACGTTTTCTCTATAAAGTATTGTGGCGCTCCACTGGTTCGGATGAGCGGAGCTGGCCTGACCCTATCCTAAACTGTGACATCTAACTATCCAGCTGTGTGCTGGTGTAGCGGAATGGGTTATGGCAAATGGAATTATAACTCCGCTACATTGGCACCTAGGCTGACATTGAGGAGAACGCCTTCTCTGTCTTTTCTTGGCTTTTATTGAACAGAATAAGTAAGCAAAATGAAACTGTGATATACCTGGCACCGTGTGCTCACAGGAAAAAGAAAATAGCTGAAAAAGAAAGCAGTAGCAACACACCCTCAGGGTATTCCATGTTCCGCGCCAACTGCGATCACCCTGACACACCCACCTGTTACCCCTCTTATACTCTACCGTACTGGTTCCTCCCCAAACCCCACATTGGACAGAACAGCGTGGGTATTTCACCGAAACAACGGTAACCAATACATGCACGGCTTTCAACAACAGTGTCAAACCCATTTGCACACAACAAAACACATGAACATCGGCGACCAGTCAGGGTCGCCACAGTATGTTATCCACACAGTATGGTAGTAGAAGCAACTTGCTAATGGTTAAGCCTGGAATATGTTGGTAATACAAACACATGTATATTAATATACAGCTTTGCATGCAGTCATCTCACCCCAGTGTTGCTGCCATCAGACCAACAACTCCTGTCCCAGCTCCTAACTCCACTACTCTCCTGCCAGCCCAGACATTCACTCCTGATGACGGATCGTAAAATTGTTTCGTCTCTAAATATCTTGCTAGAACGATAGCTGCATCCCAAACCACACAGCCAACGTCTCCTAAATAGCACTGCTTCACTTTTAAGACACAACCCTCGTTTTTCTTAATTTCTCTCACAAAATATTTACACTCATCTATGTCGGCCGCCATGTTGGCCAGGGCAGGAACGGGAAAGAGACTTCCGGTTTGAGTTTTCAGAATGAGAGTGTGACGTTCGTGGTAATAATTGTTCTAATAAAAGTCATGTCAGCAGTTTTGGGACATAAAGTGCATATATCACTTAATTTAAATCTAAAGATATTTTACTATTTCAGACATTTACTGTCTCCACTTTCTTATGGTATCCTACTTACATGCAAAAGTATTTGAAGTAGGTAACTTATTATTGGTTTATCAACATTTATTACTGCAAATTTATCACTGAATAGAAATATACAGCCATACTATTACCAAAAATGTTATTTAAACAAGGCACAATGATTAAAAAAAAGTAAAAACCATAATGGAAGTTAACTTAAAATGTAATAGGCTAAAAAAGAGCTCTACCATGATGTAGCCTATATGTTAAATGGTTATACCACAATTGGATTATAAATGCTTAAGTGGCAATAAGGAATTTATAAGTTGATTTTGACCCTTTCCAGAAGATGAATGGTGAATCCATTTGAGGGGGTCTCTTTAGCTAGGATGAAACACAAAGTGTCCTGCTGGAACGGGATTTTCAACAACTTGAAAAAGCCCAAAGTTGTTCTTATTTATGTCGTATAGCCGAACCATTAATACGTGATTTGTTAATCATTAATAAAGCAATTTATTACATCTTATAAACCCATTAATGGTGTTTAGCAGAGCACGTTAGAGCATGGGCCACAATTGTCAAAATAATTGACATGCGCAGATGCTATTAACGTAAGGAAGATGTGATATGATCGCGCGCTAATTTGACGAGGAGGACTTTCATTGTGACAATTTCTGTTAGCTAACTTGTTGCTAGCTACTTGTGGGGCTTCTTTGCACTTCAGGGAGGTTCTTTGTTATTAAGCGTAGTCACTGAATTTTACACGTATACAAATGAGTTTGGTACACATCCATGAACCTACATTTGTGAAGTTTTAAGATGTTTCGTAGCAGCACAGAGGAGGTAACAACAGGCCTCGAGACCTCAGAAAGTGGACAAACCTGGTTTGTGTCCCCAGTGAGCAGAAGCGGACTAGACGAAACTACCTCGTACGGTCCCGTATCAGCCTCCTCAGAGTCAGAACATCAAAGTTTAGATGAAGGCGGTACGAGCTCCAGCCATGGTCTGACACTACCCCTAATGGCTTCAGGTAATGTTATGGACAACCAGAGAAGCTTTAGCTAGCATTGTCTCATGGAGGGGTTGGGGCTACACAAAGTAAGACTAGAGACTGTAAAATGAAATTAAAATTACATTTCTGATGTTCACTTCTTAAATGTTTGAATTTGTTTTGACAGTGGATAGAAGAAGGGCAGAAAGATAACGGGGCCACAAACTTTGTCCCTGGACAGGTTAATGCACTAATAATACTGTATGATAAAAATCCTCTCCATCACAATTTGTGTCATTATAGGTCAGTTCCACCAGAACTTCAGGTTGGGCAGGACAAATTCATCACTCCTATCTACTTCAGAGAGTGCCTCCTTTTGCAGCCACGGAGGAGCACCCAGACTCAGAAGGACCCAAGGGTCTGCTGGGGCCAGGGGCGCACATCCTGCCCGGACCCCAATGACTGATCACACCAGTACTTTAACCCTAGACAAATTATGTGTTGAGCATGATGTAAAAACATTGGAGGCAGAGTTTCTCATTCAGCTTTCTCTTTTGTTGTAGCAACAAGTTGCTCATCCGCAACTACAACATTTGGTGCATCTGTGATAGTGGCAGTAGTTGAAGGGCGGGGTTTGGCCAGGGGAGAGATTGGCATGGCTTCTCTAAACCTGAAATGTCCAGAGCTTGTACTGTCTCAATTTGCAGACACTGGGACTTATGCCAAGGTAATCCATTTATTTTACTGGCTAATGATGATCATTCTGTACTCAGAAGACACTCTGTAATACAGAGAACACATGTCTCACTCATATATTACTCCTCTGAAGGTCATAACCAAGATTCATATCTTGGTGCCTCTGGAAATACTGATGCCAGACACAGCCAGTGAGAAAGGGAAAGGGACAAAGCTGTTCAGACTCCTCACAGAGAATTTCCCGGTACCAATGCACAATAGGTGTTGTGAATACAAGGCACAATTCTTTCAAACAAATACCCGCCTTAAAGCAGAATACAGCACAATGATTCAATTTTATTCATTTGTGTCTTTGTGAAATGTTAGTGTGAGGTAATGTCATGTTTTATTTGTTTTTTTGCCAGGGTGTAACGTTCACTGCAGTCCAAAGGAAGTACTTTAATGAAAGGAGAGGACTTGAATATATTCAACAACTGTGTGCTCCAGAATTTGGCACTGTCCTCATGGAAGTGCAAGCAAAGTATGCCACTGAGTATAATAAAGTCACTTTATTAGGTACATCTGTACAATTGTGTTCACTTCAATGCAACACTTCTGCCTTAACATCTGTGGTTATGAAGTACAAAATGTATAAATTTAATTTTATGTTTATTATTGTGGTCATAGTTAATGGTGGTGTTATACCGGACTGCATTATATTCAGGGGTGTTCCTAATATTCAGACCCTCTCATATATGTAGCTGGGGAGAACAAAAATATAGACACCTCTGAATATAATGTAGTCCAGTACAACATCACCTTTAACTATGACCTCAATAATAAACATATACATATAATTGAATGTATACATTTATGACAATTTCACCAAAACATTCTGAGCTTCATAAACAAATGTTAAGACGGAAGTGTTGCATTGAATTGCATACATTTGTAAAGTGGCCGGTGAGTGTATATACTGTAGCATTGTATTATTGTTTTAATAATCTAATGTCATTATTTGTTTAGATATTACTGCTTAGCAACTGCTGCTGCATTGCTGAAATACTTAGAGTACATCCAGAACTCTATCTACGCTGCCAAGTCTCTTAAAGTGAGCTTTAAGGGGAGTGAACAGACAGCCATGATTGATTCAGCATCTGCTTCTAACTTGGAGTTGGTAATAAATAATAGAGACCACAGGTATGAGGGAAAGACTGCACAAGCATCCTTTTTTATGTTGTGCTTGTATAATGGTAGATGTTTTTGCTTTTGTGTGTAGGAGTGAACATACTCTTTTAGGAGTTCTTAACCACACTAAAACACCTGGTGGTGCCAGAAGGTTGCGCTCTAATATTCTGGAGCCTCTGGTTGATGTGGACACTATCAACATACGTTTGGACACCATACAAGAGATGTTGCATGACGAGGAGCTCTTCTTTGGCTTACAGAATGGTCAGGAACAAGCTCAAACAGTTTTTAGTCACATTAAATGTTGTGTAAACCGATGATCAGAGCATGACATAATATTTGAATATTTGCTCTCTTGCACTCCCTAGCTATAGGTCATTTCCTTGACATTGACCAGTTGCTTTCAGTTCTTGTCCAAATCCCAAAGCAGGAAACAGTACGTACAGGACTTTTTTTTGCAATGTTTTGACATGAAGTGAATTTGTCTGTGTGTGTATTTTAAAATGTTTAAATATAACTAAATGCAAAAAACTGCACATGGGAAATATTTTTCTGTTTTCTGGTGTGAGCACATTTCTGTACTGTTTCTACATTTCTACAGGTTCAGGTGGCTGAAGCAAAGATTATGCATATCATACAGCTGAAACACACATTGGATTTGGTGCCAAGGTTAAGGGTCTGTGTCTGTTGCCACACACGACATTAGTTCAAAATGGTCCTACAGTCGTGGATAAAATAATACAAATTTTTATTCCACAAAACCCTTTTAAATGTATTTTTCTTAGTTAAAATGCAAACGGTAAAGTCTTCAAGCATACTTTATGAACAGATGGTGTTAAAGAACTGCAGCACAGCACTGCTCAAGGCATACAATACCTCACTGGAGGACAACAGGTACTAACCCTCATGCATATGTAAGACTAAGTAAATTTACTATTGTGTTCTGTCTACAGTCTTCTTCTTTTCTATGTACTGTATCCACCTCAGGTTTGACATGATTCTGGAGCAGATCAAGACAGTGATTAATGATGACACAACCTACGTGAAGGGGAGCCTAAACATGCGCACTCAGAAGTGCTATGCCGTGCGCCCCAACATCAACGAGTTCCTCGACATCGCCCGGAGAGCTTACACAGAGATAGTGGATGACATTGCAGGTGTTTATTGTGGCTATTCACTAAATATCTTTGGCTCGCAGCTTTTGTGTTCATATCATAAGTTTTATCAAATGGTATTGTACAGGGCTGGTAAACCAGATGGGGGAGAAATATGGCTTGCCAATGCGTACCAGCTTCAGCACAGCTAGAGGGTTCTTCATCCAGATGAGGCTTGATGGAGTGATCTTACCTGAGGGGAAACTCCCCTCAGAGTTCATCAAGGTGTGGTCTACTAAAGACATAAACACATGGTCAACAGACTGATTATGAATAGAAAAATAAAAAAAAATAACTCAGCTTCAGTTTTGAATGAAGGAAGCAAACTTGTCCCCATGGGGATGATAAAGTTTAAATCATTGAATGAACAGAAAAATTGTTTCAACATCTGCCACCTCAGGTAACCAAGAACAAGAACAACTATGGCTTCACCACTGCAGACCTGATGAAGATGAATGACCGCTGCAATGAGGCCCTCAGGGAGATCTTTCACATGTCCTATGTGTGAGTTGATCATTGTCCTGTGACTTTCAAACTTGCGCAGTAAAGTACTATATGCGCTTTTACACTGCATTATGCTCAATGGTTTGCACAGAGACTGTCCTCTATTGCAGAATTTCTTAACTGAGTAATCACAGATTTTTTTTGACTAATTGATTAGTGGTTCAGTTTCATAAATGATTTGTGTGTTGTTTCTCTTCATTGATTAATGTGGTTATGAAAGAGGCTTAAAATCAGGAGCCTATTTATTTCCAAAGTATATTTGAATGCTGTTTTGTTGCTAGAGTCTTTTACTCTGATGACAGACTGTTGTTCTCTATAGAAAAAATATTTTTTACTTGACAAAGACCTTAACCAATTGGGCAACTCGTTCATTAAAAGACAACATTGTAAAATCCTTTTTCTAATTCAGTGGGTTTTCTTCTTGTTAACAGCAGGTTTACATGATTGCATTTTCTCGGCTTTTTGTCCACTAGAGGGTGATGTGTACTGCCTATAATTTTCCTCCAGTGCTTTTCTAGTGTAGCATGTAGCCTGTCTCCATACAGGGTGATATGTCAACTGCTGCGCACTATCCATGAGCACATCCACTGCCTTTACAAGCTCTCTGATGCTGTATCCATGCTAGACATGTTGCTGTCACTTGCAAATGCATGCACCATCTCAGACTATGGTACGTATGACCCACAGTTGCCTTCCATCTACACATCAATTCAGCTGTCAAATTAACTTTGATGAAGTGTGATCTGTTGTCTAAGGGAGAACTGTGTACACATAAGGCAGTTCCCAGCCAAGGTGACACATGACAGCCACAAAGAGCTCCACTGAACTGGCAGCTCTGCAGGCCTCAGGTGGAGGGCGTGGGCAGTGCCAGCTTGATCAGCCACGTGGGTGGTGAGCGCTGGCCCTCAGCTGTCTGAAAGTGTCTCTCCATAGACATGTGCTGACTGCCTCCTCCCTTCTACCCCAGCCAGCTTGTACTCAGATTACCTTTGTTACATAAGTGTATTACAGAGAGAAATCCCCCTAGCAGAGGAACTAGCTGCCTTTAACCACTGCACACACCACTTATAGAGATCAGTGGTTATATTATATTGTAACACCTTTCAATTAACCAAGAAATAATTAATTATATAAAAATGTAATTTTATAGATTACATTATAAGTATACTTTTGTTATGAGTAACAAAAGTAAACAACATCAGTTTACTAGCTATGCAGGTTTGCAGCAGATTTGCAAAATACTAATTCACACACTATCAGTATTTAAATGCTTTATGGTCATCCCAAATAAATGCATGAGTGAGTTATTATATAAACAAAAATGTTAACAAATCAAGGTACTTTTGATTGTTGGTGCTTGTTTCTGCTGTCTCCAGTGCGTCCTGAGTTCACAGACACACTGGCCATTAAGCAGGGTCGTCACCCCATTCTGGAGCGAATAGCTGGACAGCAGCCTGTACCGAACAATAGCTACATTTCTGAGGGCAGCAACTTTGTCATCATCACGGGACCCAACATGAGTGGCAAATCCACCTACCTCAAACAGGTGGCGCTGTGTCAGATCATGGCTCAGATAGGTCAGCAGCAAACCTTTCAGTCTCACCTGAATTTGAAATGCAACACTGCACTGCTATGCTTTCATTTAATTTTTGAGTAAAGCCCATGCACTGTTATTCCAGGCTCTTTTGTCCCTGCTGAGTATGCATCTTTTCGTGTTGCTGATCAGATTTTCACCAGAATTGGTGTGGATGATGATTTTGAAACTAATTCTTCCACTTTCATGTTGGAAATGAAAGAGGTATGTTTCCTTCACAACAGAGCTACTCATGTTCTTTAGTTACATTTGTGTGTGGGGGTGGGAGAAAAAAAATTATTAAATTATTACTGACTGTAAAGTTCCTCCCCAAAGATCTCCTACATAATCCACAATGTGAGTGACAGGTCCCTCATTATCATAGACGAGTTGGGGCGTGGTACCAGTGCTGAGGAGGGCGTCGGCATTTGTCACTCAGTTTGTGAGTTCCTCCTTAGCCTCCAGGTAGAGTATGCACTGCCACTCCTCTGTTCAAATAAAACTGGATATATCAGATTCCTATGCTTTATGTTAATCACTTATCCTGTTATCTTGTGGTACTCCCTTTAGGTCAATGATAAAGTAGTAAAAATAAATGCAGGACTAGCACATATTGTCCACTGTTTTAAGGTGTGTGGTGTTCCCTGCTGTTTACAGGTGTTCACACTCTTTGCCACACACTTTCTTGAACTGTGCCAACTAGAGTCTCTTTATCCCAATGTGGAGAACCAGCACATGGAGGTTCAGCATACACGCAGTGGTGACACTGGTGCTAAGGGTGTGGTGTATACATACGTGCTGAATCGAGGATGTGCTGAAGAAGGACACTATGGTACAAAGTCAGTGAAATCTAAGTGCAATTCTGTTGAAATTGGTCATGAAAAATACAAAGCTTGTTTTTGGTCTTATAGGTCTGAGAGCAGCAGAAATGACTGCCCTTCCTTCAACAATAATACAAGAGGCAAAGGCAATTTCATCCAAAGTCAGCCAACAGCTTTTGGTATGTTCCATAACAATCAGAATTTTAACTGTTGCTCATACCATCTTTGGTGCCTTGACCTGTCCTGTGTACTTTTTATTTAAATTACATTATCCTAGCATATTAGGTATTCCTTTTACAGCAGTTCCCACATCATGTGCTCCAGTAAAACCAGCTTTAATGTACAAGAAATTAAATATTGGGCACTGAGAGAGTCAAATGTTGTGCTGTGGCCTCTGATTACAACACAAATATTTTTGTTTCTCATAAACAATCCTGGTTTATGTCAGAGAAGTACTTCATAAACAGACAAGACCCAAGGTTTCTTTTATTATTCTTTCAGGCCAAACATTACAGTGATCCGGAAACACGGAGGCAGAGAGCTGTGTACCACCTGGCCACTCGCCTCATCCAGACAGCCAGGAACTCCAGACTGGACCCAGACAGCCTGCGTATGTATCTGAAAGGCCTGAGAAAGCAGTATGAGGCAGAGCTGCGGACCATAGGGCAGCCAGGGTCCATGGACACAGAGCAGGACTGACTGACTGACTCAGCCTTACAGTTGGAAGGGACCCTGGGAAATTAAACACCAGTGTCTGTCTGATTACTACTGCAGGGTGTTTACATTGTGTTTATAGTTCAGCTTGATTTGAAATTAAACTGATTTCTTTAAATCCCAGTGGTCATGTTTGGGGGCTAGTTTTACAATTCAAAACAATATCAAATCACGTTAATGTTAGAAATGTATGATAACTAAATTTTAGGCTAATGGATGATTAATTTCTGAAAAAATACTGTCCCGATTCCGTGGAAATGCGGTTAAGTTACTAAATACTTAAGACAACCCGGAAGTCCCCACGGAACTATTGAAGTGCTTGTTGTATTCCTCTGTCTTGGGGAAGTACAGTATCCACTCCCCTCGTTACTGCTGCCTATGACAAGATCTATGAATCAAGTACGTCTCGGAAAGGCGGGTTTATCTGTTGTGTGCTGCGTCATGACGGCTCCGCTCAGTGTGCTTAGAGTTACTAAACAAGCGCTCCCCAGCAGCTTGACTATGACCCGCCCCCGCGAACCAGAAACAGTAAGATTGTCTGACGGATAGTGCAGAAGAAGCCAGGTTGGTGCTGCTCTGGGAAGTCGGGAGTCACTGCCAGAGTCAACGCAGAACAACGCCATTTCGCCACTAGCGGAGGCAACAACAAACTGATTCTATAGGTATGCTGTAAACTGTTGTTTTTGCCGATAGTGTGTTTTTTTCTTGTTTACAAGCCCCTTGTCCCTGTCTTAGCGAAGCTAAGGCCTGTGAACGGCCCTCAGGACTTAAACGGAAGATGGAGCAGCAAACCGGGTCGAGCTTTCAGCACAGAGGAAGGCTGGGTCACTAAAAAAAACGGGGCCCGTGGGGTTAGATGTCCACACCTCCAGATAGGCGGAGTTGGCTAAAAGATAGCCAACTTGGGTATTCCTGTAAACACTTTTGTAGGTTACTTTACTATCGCTGAAGACTTCCTGTCCACTAATAGTTGGATTGGCCGGCTAACGTTAGTACCTGGCGCACGTTGGTTGGCTAGCGTGTATGTTAGCTAGCTCATCCATAGTGCCCGAGCTGAAGCCAAAGAGTGAAGAATTTAAGTGGTGACGAGCCTTTTCCTGTATGAATTATAGCAGCTATTTGTAGCCATGTCCAGGCAACAGTTGGACCCCCCCCCCCGTTACAATATTTTTGCTAACGCTAGTCATGTTGGTGAAGTGAGCTTTTCGTCGTGACGTATGACTTAGGAGCTAGGTGGAATAACTTTGCTGAGGCGTATAAGATCACTTCTGCTTTTTTTCTGTGATGATGGGCTGTATCAAGAAGCAGCATCCTCTTGGTGTAAGAATAGATGTCATTACGTATCTCGGTTCAATAGTCTGTACAAGGCCAACGATTTACACATAACTTAGCATGTTGGGGTATCTAGTACTCAGTCTGCCCTTGATGAATGTGAACATCACTCTGTCTCAAAGACGAGCTAAAGTGTTTATTTTTTCTGGTACTTAAAATGAATGACAAGTGTGTTGGTAACTGGAATAAGGTATGAATTGCCGTCAAGTGAGCCATCGATTGCAAAAACCCGGTCAAGTGATCCGCCGTTCGATTTTTTTTTTGTTTTGTTGTTGCGCTTCTTCGTTTGCAGTTACGGTACGGGTGATGGGAACGGCCAAAATGGACTTTTAAAGACAGAGTGACTATGTAGGCAATTAAAATCGCATTTAGCTTGGCAGATAAATTGTATTATGTCAGATCATACCTTGTGTGTATTAGTATATTATCTCTGTACAGTTTTTAGAAAAGGGGAAATCCCCACTAATTACATTGTAACTGACATTGTTCTGGTATCTGGACTCCTGTAAAAATATTTCCTCCAGAGTTTCCACATTTGAACTGATTCCTGCTCAGAGAGACATAGACTGTGATCACACAAATTTTAAAGTTATATTAATGTACAGTTTATAAGAAAATACTGTTACTGGCAATGTCCTCATATTTAGACTCCCATAAAAGGATGTCTTTCAGAGGGTTGGTCCAACTCGCACCTGGTTCCTGCTCAGAGTGACCTAGCCTATGGCTGCACAAAGTTTAAAGTATTATTACTGTACAGTTTTTATAAAAATTAAGAGTATCATTTAAACGTCTGTTTGACCGCTCCCAGCACACGCTCCGTAATTGCATAGAAAGAAGCACAATAAAATCCAAATGGCCGCTGACATGACCGGGTTCAATCTATGGCTCACTTGACCCCTTTAGGTATGTCTGTATTTAACTGTGTGCCTTCTGTGAGATCTTGGGAAATCCTTCAAATACCCAGTGGCTCTACTTTGGGAAAATAAAGTTCGTCTTGAGCTCCTCAGTGTCAGTTCTGTCTTGTTGGTATTTATCATATCCTTGTGGTCTCTCTGTAGATGAGCTCTTATCTCAGGCATCTTCTTGGTTTTACTTGATTTAATATGTGGCATGCCCTTTCAAGTTTTCTTGTTACAGCCAGATCATTTCAAGTGACTATAACCTTTTATATACGAACATTTTCCTTGATAGCCAAATGCCAGTGCCCTGTGTACTTTGCTACTTTCTTTAGTATATTATCAGAATGTTGATAAGGGCAAAATATCAGTTGGTTATCTTTGCAGCTTACCTACTCGTACAAGGACATCTTCCAGTAGTTCTACCTATCACTCTAAGATGGATTTTTAATTACAGCAATCACTCATACTTTCTGGGTAAAATGTACTGCAATCAAAATGTAAACATCATTGAACTGTTTGAAAGTGGTTAATGCAAGGGCATGGAATGGCTTCCAGTGTTGCTTTTATTTTGATTCATTTGATTAATTTCTGGGTGGATCTGTGCCTTAAATTTATGTTATAGAACCACTGTAACAAATTACATATTTAATGCCCCTTACACATTCTGAATTTATACACTCAGTTATAACACATTATCGCTTGATATGAAAGTTTGTATAGTGCTAATAGCCATTAGCCATTTTGAGAAGCCCAAACACAATCCCAGTCCTGAGCCAGGGAAATGCTGTTTACGTTTCATTTTCATGTTGTAGATTGCACTCATGGGCTGTGCGTAAAGATCTTCAGTGTAGAGAACTGCATGACCTGATTTTCAAGTACTGTCTGTGCTACTTTTTGGGTCTGATAGATATGAGGAGTTCCCTCTGTGTCCATACCTGCCAAATCAGGAGGCCTGGAAAGCTAAGTGGCAATATTCCCAGGAGCCGGCAGGCCAAGAGGCCTTTGTCCTCTAGGCTTGTTTTGATGCTGGGACAAAGCTCAGGCTGCACAAGGAAACAAGTGCACTTTCCACTCTTGAGCCCTGGGACTAAAAGAAAGCAAGCAGGCCTCAAACTTTCACACCACTTTACTCCACCCATACTTCATATGCCAAGAGGCGGTGTTGCTTTAAGAGTTCTTTCGCAGTTTCATGTGGTCTGACATGGGAGTTTTCTGGAACATACAGTGAATGTGACATAAAAAAGAATTTCCTGATTTGGTATCCCCTAAAAGTTAGCAAATCAATCTTGTTACCCATTCACCCATTTTGGTGCATAGTGAACCTTCATGTGTGTTTGGTCTCAGTTTGTTTTTGTTCAGGTCTTTGACAGTCAAATCCTTAAGGTGGGTCACTGAAAGGCTTTTTTGATTGATTTATCTTACCAAGTAGCCTTAGAGTGAGCTGTCCAGTGGTAGTGACACATTTGCTAGTGACAGCACAGATAAGAGAACGAAACAGTAAAGGATAAAAAAAATTTAATTTAAAGGCTAATGTTTTCAGATCCTTGTATGGGGTTGTTGCTGTGCTGAGTTTGCACTTTGCTCTTAAAACTAACAGCTATTTCACTGCTCACAGTTGATTTTTATGAGTTTACTTTGCTTCCAGTTGTAGCCTGTTGAGTGTGCAGATGCATAGATCACCTGAGAGGAAATGAAGTGGATAGTAGTTGAAGTCAAACATTCCTAATCCATGAAAAGGATCATCCAGTCACATGTATTTATCAAAGCTCTTTTAAAGGGTTCTAAAATGAAAACTTAAAATTTGTTTCAGAAATGTATTTAAGAACATTTTAGTTTATGCTCAGAGGATAAACTTGGTGCTTTTCAAAATAAGACTCTTCAAATTAGGGATGCAGATTTTCTTCGCTAGTCTGCAGCGTTTACATGTCACCATTTGGTATCACCTCTGCTCACTTGGAACCTCCATGGAGGTGACACCAGAAATAGTACCAGGTACTATCCCCAACATTTGACTGATGGGGGGGGGACCAAGGTGAGTTGAGTTGAGCCATTAACAGGTGTTGGAAAAGAGGCTATTCTATAGCTTTTAAGTATCCTCCCACAGTGAACTGGTTTTACTGCTGCCTTCACTACATGATGGGAATGACTTTGCATTGTTCACTGTAGCTAGTCCAGCTGCTGGAAACATCTAAAGGGACATATGTCCCAGGATGCTGGCTCTTTGTCAGTCCAGGAAATCTGTTTTTGCTGTCACCTGTAAGATGCATTTATACTTAAAGCAGTGGGTGTTGCTTATAGCCTACAGTTCATCACTTTTGTGATTATGTTGAAAGCACGTTTAGAGTAATGATATATGTTAGCAGCACACTTTTAGTGGTGCTCCCTGCTCTTCCTCCTGACCTGCACTAAACAAGCCTCAGATAGCTAGTTACACTGCACAGCTGCCAAACAACATTATACTGCCACAGTGAGCACACAAAGCCACACTGCCACTTGATGTGCATTCATTTTGTACTTTTTGCAGCTCTTACAGGTGCTCAACAAGTGCATCTTTAAAAAGCACCATCTAGTGGTATCCAGCTACTACAGAAATGAATAGTTTCTGGCAATTACAGTTCATTATAGTCACACACACACACACACACACACACACACACACACACACACACACACACCCTAAGTCAAATATTAAACAACTGACCTGGTACATATTTTGTGTGTTATGGAAGGCGTTAAAGTAAAACTGAGTCAGCTTTGTATTATAGGACTAAGTCTGTCAGTCTACACGAAGCCCTGCAGTGGAAAGTTGTTTATTAAATGTATTGTCATGGGTAATCTCCTTAATTTATGACACTTGTGCTACAATACCACCACAGATCTTGGGTGTTGGATGGGATTATGCAGCACTTAAGGGCACTGCCGCCACTTTGTATTGTTAAACAAGGTTTAACTTGTCCCTCTTATTTTGATAATTGAACAGGTTTGCACAAGGTATTGTGTTTTAGTTTGCAGATCTACTCTCCAGATGCAGTATTATTGACTCTGCCTTTTACAAAATTGCCATAGCACCTCAGTACTTGTCACATCACCCTGAGCATCAATGGTGTAATCAGGATAATTAAACAGAAGTAAATACCGTATGTGCTGCGGTGATAAATCTTTGGCATTGTTGGAACATAGCTTTGATTAATCAAATTGCTTGGCTGAGAGACTGTGCTAAATGAGATGCATACGGACAGGTGACAAATTAAAGGAAACACCTGAATAAATGAGTGGTCTCTTCCAGGATGGCAGTGCCCCCATTCAGAGAGCACAAGGGGTCACTGAATGGTTTGATGAGAAAGTGATGTGAGTCATATGCTATGACCTTCACAGATCAGGTCTCAACCCAGCTGAACACCTATAGCAGCTTTTGGACCAACATGTTAGATAGCATCTCCACCACCATCATTAAAACACCAAATGAGGGAATACCTTTTGGGGAAATGGTGTTTGTCTCTTAAGCAGAGTTCAGAGACTCATAGAATCGGTGCCAAGGTGCACTGAAGCTGTTCTGGTGGCACTTTGTGGGCCAGCACCGTAGTGCGACACTTTGTTGTTTTTGTTTTTTTTTAAATTGTCACCTGTTTGTATTTGTAAAATAAATGGCAAATAAGTCCACCTCAGCAGTCACCGGGCATTTCCTCTGTAGTATTTATGCCAGCAAATCATTAGCGACGACTAACATGTATAGTTAGTTTGGTTATATAGCAGCTGAAATTATGTTATATCTGCATTGTTTCCACCCCAGTTCATCTTACTGCATAGCCTTGAGGAGACGTGTTATTGCCACCCACCTGTCATGTTACTGACACTTGCATGTGGGTGTATTTTTGCCTCTTGCAAATGGATCCTGATATGAGTTTAGAATACCACCATGTCACTGTTGTGGGGGCTGAAGGAGGGAAATGACAAAATAAGACAGGGAGCCATCTTCTTTTTAGACAGTTTTCTCTCTGATGTTGTTGACATCCTGTATTGTATACCTTCTTAAACCAATGTGAGTGAGGTTGATGGCTTTCATTCACTGTTATCCGGCTCTTACCAAGATGTGTACATCTTTGTTTTCTTGTCATCCTTCTTTTCTTCAGAATGGCGGTGGACATCTCTGACTCTCAGTACCTGCTCATCCTGGCCCCAACCCTGATCATTGCCCTGATGTTCCTCTTCTTCTGGCTGTTCATGAAAGAAACTTCCTACGATGAGGTCTTGGCCAGGCAGAAACGTGACCTCAAGACACCACCATCCAAGCAAGACATGCGTAAAAAGAATGAAAAGAAGAAGGGCAAGAAGAAGGAGAGTGCAAGTGGAGGAGGAGGTGGAGGAGAGTCAGAAGAGGAACTGCGGGACTTTGATTTGGTTGATGGTGCCAACAGCTCTACTCTGGAGGTAGAAGATGAACCTGTACCAGTGGCTACACCAGATCCTGCTCCACCAACACCTACTCCTTATGTACCTGTTAGGTTGCTGTCCACTGAGGCTCCTGCTGGTCTGAGGGAAAGGAAGAAGAAGGAGAAAAAAGCTGCTGAGGCTGCTGCAGCAGCTGCAGTCACAACTACAGCTACAGTTACAGCTGCTGCTTCTCAGGAGCCAGAAGTGAATGGGTCCAAGCCGGTCAGCCGCAAGGCAGAGCCACCTGTTTCTGTTAGCAAACAGTCCAGCCCATCTTCTCCGCAACTAGAGGTTCAGGTTCAGCTCCAAGCTGCCCCGGCTCCTGTTCAGACTCAGACACCTCCCCAGTTCTCTGTGAAAAAGGAGAAAAAGAAGAAACAAAAAGCAGAGCCTGGTGAGTAGTGAGGAGTACAGTTTAACATAGGTGTGTTGCTCTATTCCTTTGAGAAAGCATGCAAATACTTTTCTCAAGTTACAGAGAATTGAGAGGAAAAATATTAGCTACATCATTAAGTTTCGAGGTTTAGGTCAGTAGCTTTAACAATGATTGATCATCATTCTCATGGCAGGCTGGCTGAGACTAATATTATTCTCCCCTTACATGTCCCCATCCAGTGGAGGACCAGCAGCCAGAGGTTAAAGCAGAGCAGGCTCCAGCACCAGTTAAGAAAGAAGCTCCCACTGTGGCTGAAACCAAAGTTCTGGATGGTGTGACCCCAAGCACTACCAGCGGCAGGAAGAGGAACTCTGCCAAGAAGCAGAAGACTGAGCATGGTAATGATGATAAAATGGGCCCACATGCTAAATAATATCTTAATTGCTATATAATGTCAGGATATGTGCTGACAATTCCCCTCCCCTCAAATCCAGTAGATGAAGCCCATGTTGTGGCTGACTCGGCAACCTCTGCCAACCACCAGGCAGCTCATAATGATGATGTACCACCCAGAGGGTCTGGCAAGAAACAGAAGAATGAGACAGACCGAGGTAAAATAAAGAAGAAACTGTTACATCCTGTTTTTATTTCATTTGGCTATCCCATATCTCCTGTCCAACTGTATAGTAACATGCTAAATTGCATGTGTTTAACAGAGAACAAAGAGGTGAAGCTGAAAGACCTGCTGTCTGGTCTGTCGACCCTGGCTCTGTCAGAAGCTGAGGCTGTCAGTGTGATGGCCCTCCTCCGAGAGAAGAGCCCTAATGCTTTGGATGCCTGGCACAAAGTGAGAGATTATTAAGTGATAAATTTGAATTAGGTGCTTCCCACTGTTTGCATTTGGCATGAGTATTGGTAGTTGGATCTGCTATGCTCGTGTTTTCAGTTTTCTCTCTCACCACCAGTCTGCAGCCAGGCCTGACCCAGCTGCCCAGGAGCGTGAGCGGCTCCTTGCAACTCTTCAGGAGGAGGCCTCCATTGCTAAGGACAAAGTAAAACAGCTGAGCCAGGTCTGAAATCTAAAATTCTGCCTAATGAAGTACACAATATGATTGATTGGTTTCCAGTATGCTTTCCATACCTCAGAAATTATTTCTCAGTTTACAGTAAAGTGCTTAAATGCCCCTCTTGCCTTTTTGCTTTAGGAGCTTCAGGTTGAGAAGCAGAAGACAGGACGTGTGGAGGCCCTGATGAGAGAGCAACATGCAGCCATGGAGAAGGAACTGGGGAGCATGCAGGCCGACGCACAAGGCCGCTATCAGGAGGTCCAGATAAAGGTGAGGGTGTTTATTTCTTTCAGGTACTGAGATTGAGTTGTTTTTAAAAAAAAATAAATAAATAAATAACAAGGAACCAGGAACTTTTGACATTCTTTTCAAGGCTACATGGAGGCTCAATCCTATTGTGTATGTGAAGTTTCAGCAGGTGAGGGAGCAGCTGGAAAGCCAGATCACTCGACTGCAGCAAGAAAATGGCATTCTGAGGGATGCAGTCAGCTCTGCCACCAACCAGATGGAGAGCAAGTCAGTGCTATATTACAGTGGATAAGATCCTTTTGGTCATGCTCTCTAGAGCATCATACACTGAACAAAATTATAAACACAACACTTTTGTGTTTGCCCCATTTTTTTCATGAGCTGAACTCAAAAGATCTACAACTTGTTCTATGTACACAAAAGGTCTATTTCTCTCAAATATTATTCACAAATCTGTCTAAGCTGTTAATGAGCACTTCTTCTTTGCCGAGATAATCCATCCACCTCACAGGTGTGGCATATCAAGATGCTGATTAGACAGCATGATTATTGCACAGGTGTGCCTTAGGCTGGCCACAATAAAAGGCCACTCTAAAATGGGCAGCTTTATCACACAGCACAGTGCCACTGATGTCACAAGTTTTGAGGGATTGTGCGATTGTAATGCTGACTGCAGGAATGTCCACCAGAGCTGTTGCCCGTGAATTGAATGTTCATTTCTCTACCATAAGCCGTCTCCAAAGGCGTTTCAGAAAATTTGGCAGTACATCCAACCGCCCTCATAACCACAGACCACATGTAACCACACCAGCCCAGGACCTCCACATCCAGCATCTTCACCTCCAAGATCGTCTGAGACCAGCCACCCGGACAGCTGCTGCAACAGTCGGTTTGCATAACCAAATAATTTCTGCACAAACTGTCAGACTGTCTCAGGGATTCTCATCTGCATGCTCATCGGGGTCTCGACCTGACTGCTGTTTGTCATCGTAACCGACTTGAGTGGGCAAACGCTCACATTCGATGGCATCTGGCGCTTTGGGGAGGTGTTTTCTTCACAGATGAATCCCGGTTTTCACTGTACAGGGCAGATGGCAGACAGCGTGTATGGCGTCATGTGGGTGAGCGGTGTGCTGATGTCAATGTTGTGGATCGAGTGGCCCATGGTGGTGGTGGGGTTACGATATGGGCAGGCGTATGTTATGGACAACATACACAGGTGCATTTTATTGATGGTATTTTGAATGCACAGAGATACCGTGATGAGATCCTGAGGCCCATTGTTGTGCCATTCATCCACGACCATCACCTCATGTTGTAGCATGATAATGCACGGCCCCATGTTGCAAGGATCTGTACACAATTCCTGGAAGCTGAAAACAGCCCAGTTCTTGCATGGCCAGCATACTCACCGAACATGCCACCCAATGAGCATGTTTGGGATGCTCTGGATCAACGTGTAGGCCAGCGTGTTCCTGTTCCTGCCAATATCCAGCAACTTCACACAGCCATTGAAGAGGAGTGGACCAACATTCCACAGGCCACAATCAACAACCTGATCAACTCTATGCTAAGGAGATGTGCTGCACTGTGTGAGGCAAATGGTGGTCACACCAGATACTGACTGGTTTTCGGACCCCCCAATACAGTAAAACTGCCCATTTTAGAGTGGCCTTTTATTGTGGCCAGCCTAAGGTACACCTGTGCAATAATCATGCTGTCTAATCAGCATCTGGATATGCCACACCTGTGAGGTGGATGGATTATCTCGGCAAAGGAGAAGTGCTCACTAACAGATTTGTGAACAATATTTGAGAGAAATGGGCCTTTTGTGTACATAGAACAAGTCGTAGATCTTTGAGTTTAGCTCTTGAAAAATAGGGGGCAAATGCAAAAGTGTTTACACTGAACAAAATTATAAATGCAAATGTTTCAGTTGCCTGGTGAAACACTGACAGTAATCCATGGTTCATATTAGAACTTCAGCTCAGTCTGTGCATTTTTTTTTTTTTTTGGTAATTTCTGTCTCTGGCTCACAGTACTGTAAGTCAAAGAAATGAAAAACACCCTATGCAGATAATTATTTTAATTCATCAACAGTTTCCCACAGTAATTCCCCATGAACCATTTTGACAGTACTCATTTGCACTTATTTGCATGTGTTGCTTGATAGGAATTCAGCAGAGCTGAACAAGCTACGCTCTGAGTACGCCACTCTGATGAAAGAGCTGGCAGACAACAACAGCAAGCTGCAGCAGGAGGAGCACCAGAGGAAGTCACTGGAGGTCAGCTACAAGCAGAACGTGTCACAGCTGGAGGTAGGCTAATCCAGATGCATAGTGTGTTTATTTAGCCTGTTCTACAGTTTCCCCAGCTGAGACAAAAATGAACTAAGCTATGCAAAACATGGGCCTGCTGCATAGCTTCAGTTCTGGTCAGCAGGTGTGGCAGCTTTACCGGTGAAATGGGAGGAGGTTGTAGTGGAAATCCTGGAGAGTGTTGTGAGAAATGGTACCTGGGCTGGGAGGACTGTGTTGACTTTGGAAGCTGGAATGTTTGAGGCTTTGTGCTGCATATAAACAAGACTTTCCTGGGAGAGATATCAGGCTTTCCTGTCTTTTTACTGACTACAATCGAACGATGGAAATCTAAGTTGCAGGCACAACACAGACAAGTTCGAGAACCTGAGAGCAATGTAGATCATTGCACAGTCATGATCAAAATCAGTCATGGTGTTCAATTTAGATTTTGTATTAATTTAGCGCTGTTTGCATTCTGGGGGGAAAGTGAGCAGAGGTTCAAAGGCTTGTAGAAAAGATTTCCTTTATACAAATCAAGCTCTGTCCTTGACCTGGCAGTAGGGGCATTGACTGAGAGGGAAGGGTGTGCATTATCTTAGTGGTCCAGTGTGGTTCTAACAATAGTGGGGTTTTAATTTCCTTGCAAGTTAGTATAATGAGTGGCGAAGAGTATTCATCAAGTTGCATATCTCTTAATTCCAAGGTCCAACTGCAGGACGCTAAGCGACGCTGGGAAGAACTGCAGAACTTCCTCCACAATGTCAACGCTGAGAGGGAGAAGCTTCAGACCTCAAAGCAAGGTGGTAAAACCTAAGAGAAAATGTTATCTTGTAAACTCAAAACAGTCATTCAGCAACTCTGTGTCTGCATATGTGTGTGTGTGGGTGCAGAGCTCCACAGCCAGCTGGTGGCAGCAGAGACAGAGATGAACAACAAGAACAAGGAGATCCAGAACTTACACAACAGCCTGACTGAAGCCATGGTCTCCAAGGAGCAACTGGAACAGAGAGTGTTGAAGCTTATGGAGTTGTCTCAGCATAGTATGCCTGACGACTCACTGCAGGCGCGGGTTCAGGTGAGGCACCTGTGCTCAAAATCATCAGTCCATGTTATTGCACATACTGTATTTGCTGCATTTACTATAATGATTCAGATTATATGGAATTTTACTATATGTAGCTGGACTGAGGGTCAGATTTGATTAAATCAATGGATTTTATATACAGTAGTTCTCTGTTACAGTTGATTCCATATTGACATGGAGAGCACACACATTTCTTGTATTCACCAACGCAACCTGTTTTTAACAGGAGCTTATGAATGAAAAGAAAAGTCTTCAGGTCCAGAACGAGACACTGCATGTCCAGAATGACAGCCTGCAAGCCCAGATCTCTTCACAGGTATATGGGTCAACCTCATGTACTGTACCTATGTTTAGTCAGAATAAGATGCCCACCTGCATAACTGTGCATATATGTAGGTTAATGAGATTTCTTTTCTTCTCATTTAGGCCACCCATGTCTCTCACATTGAGGAGCTACAGAAGCTGTAAGAAAGTCAGATTTGTACCTTTCAGACCTAGTGATTGAATTAAAAGTCATATGTTGAGCCAGTTTTCATGGTCTCGGTCTCCCACCCCCCATTCTGTCTAGTCTGTCTGAAAAGGAATTGCAGAGGAAGAGTTTGGAGGATTCTTTAAATGCTGAGAGGAGCAGCGGTGCCAGTAGAGAATATAACATGCAGGTATAGTCACATGAGTGTGTCACCTACAGCTTCTTATACTAACATTGTCTTGTTCAAGGTCTCTCACTGTGCCAAGAGGGAGTATGGGTTATAGACCAGCTCTGGCAGAAAGATGGCATGTTCCTCTAGATATTTTGTAGTCTTGCCAAATAGATATATTTGATTTCAGTGTTTTGTCACTGTTGCACAGTCTGTCAAATCGTGTATAATGTTGGCATGATAAATGCAGTGTTTCCGCTGGTAACATTTCTCAATGGTACCCCACCACACCCAAAAAAAAAAAAAAATCTGTTTGGTTAATCAATATATTACCCAAACACCAAGTGACTCCCCCGGGAAGCCACAAAACAATGCAGCAAGTCATATTCACCAGTGCAGTTAAGACTAATTCACCATGAGCATGTTTTTAGACTTGCTTGTCACACAGCATATAAAATTCATTCTGTGAAATGTGTCTGACACACATGAGAAACATCACCCCTTGAGCTGTATCTTTTCATTTTGCCCCACCCTCTGTAGCAAGCTGGGGGGTAAAAAAAAATCACTGAATGAATTCATGCATATAAACATGCTGACTTCTTCCAGATAATCCTACATGAAAACTTTTTTTTTTATCCAGTACACTTTCTTGGTTTGAACACAAAGTTAGCGTAAATTAAAATATACAAATAAAAAGATTGTGACTATATTAATCAAAGTAGAACTTCAACTGCCAATTTTCCGTACACACGCAGGTACATTACTCCCACACCAAACCTCTTGATCCCCAGCAAACCCTGATAAATGTGTCTTGTCCTCTGCAGGCCTTACACAATGAGAACATGTTGCTGAAGGCAGAGATTCAGAATCTGCAGGCCCAGATTTCTGATCAGGTCAGCTATGTACCTTGGCTGCTTTTCCAAAGTGTAGTAGCACTCTGTGTATTTTTGTTTTCATCTGTTTGACATACCTTCTCTTTCTATCTGCCTTTGACTCTCTGCACACAGACTGCCTCTCAGCTGGCTCTGGACCAGTTCCAGAAAAGGTACGTGAAAACAGGAATATATTTTGAATACATGTTCCAAAAACTAATTATCCATAAGTAGTAAATGGAAGTGTGTCTTTCTACTCAGTGTCCAGGAGAAAGAGGAGAACATGAAAACTGTTGAGGGTCTGTTGGAGAAGGGGCTGATTGAGGTGGCCAACAAGGAAGAGGAACTCAAGGTATCCATTATAATTGGTTTGAAAAGGACAGCCAAGGGTAACAAATCCTGAAAACCTGCTGCCTCACACATACTGCATACTGTACCTACATTTGACTGACATCAGCATTCTTTAAGTGACTGGCTTTCACCTGCCTTGTAATAACAATCTCCACTGGGCTGAAGTTTCTAAGTAGTGTATTTCCCTGATGCAGGCTGTAAGAAAAGAGAACGAGGCACTAAAGCAAGAAAGAGAGGGCCTTAAGAGAAAGACAGCAGAACAGGTAAGTTAGTTTAAAATCTGTATTAAGAAGTTCCTGAGTTGTTTATCTTACTCTGTATTGATTTGTAAATTTTTCTTGTTTCCCTTAATCACAGGCATCATCTGAATCAATAGTGGAAGAACTCAAGCGCAAGTAAGATCAATCAAGTTGACTTTGGTATTTAGGGATCATAATAATGTAGTTGTGTTTAACTAATTAATGAATTCCTGTTTATGTTTGTGTTGATGGCTCATGTTTGTGACATGTAGCCAGAAATAGTTTGAATCAGATCTAGGACTACGTTCACACTGCAGGTCTTAATGCTCAGATCTAAATTTTTTTGTCGAAATCCGTTTTTTTTTTTTTTTTTTTTTTTCTCTTTTTTTAACCCTTCCTTTTAATTTTAATCAC